GACTTATATTGAGCTGTTTACGGACATTTTCAGTTTCCAATATTTTTTAGTTTTTTATTCTGTAAATATCAATTAACTTTTATTTTTTGGGTAAAAATGCGTGAAAATTTAAAACAAGGCTCCTGATATATTATTATACTAGCAGTTGAAAAATAAAAATACATAGGCACACTTTTTTTATAAGCATTTAAAGTTCGAATTTTGACAAAATTTATCAAATTTCAAATTTAATAATTATATTGTGTTTAAAAATGTTCAACTTTTGTATCCAACGGTTGAAAATTTAAAACAAGGTTCCACGTAAATAGGTTATACATAAATTACTTTATTAACAGGCTTTATTGTCATTATTATTATACTTTATTAACTTTATTATCATCAAATATACTTAGTAATATCATAGACTGACTGACCGTCTTCGCTCAGAATCGTTTTTCTTATACAATGAATTCAAATTGAACACAATCTATTACAGTGACCTACTTGTAACTTACTGTACAGCAGAACGACACCCACTTGCCCAACTTTTTTAATATTGCACTATTTATGATCATGATCGGTCGTGGTTTTATTAATTGCCTACCACGTAATGACGTAATGCCAAATAAACTTGTAGGTACATACAATTATTAAAAAAAATATCAAACTAAACTCTTAAATATTTAGTTTTTTTTTTTTATTTGGGATAATTGCGTGAATATTAATTCATACCGCTATGTTAATTGTCTACCTGTTTATAATGTGCATCGTGCAACCAGACCTATTCAGTGCGTAAAATCGAATTAGGTCGCTAGGTTGGATAGGTTGTATAATGCCGTACATGTTATATGCGAGGAGTATCCATAATTAATACGCATAAGTCAGAAGTGGCTAATGTACGGAATTTCATAAGGGATTTGTACAAAGCTGGTTGTCACAAAATGGCCGACCAACAGACTTCGTTATTATACCACGTAGGTATGAGTAGAGATACACGGGCTCAATGCTCATGATATATAGTTATTTACAACTGACAATTAAACGGATTAAAATACATATTTTATCACTAGATAAATGTGTTGATTTATTATTTATTACACCAGAGATATTCCTTAAAATTATCATTTCATTCCATACATTTTGTAATTTGTCAAAACTAAGCGATAGAAAAAATAACTTTATAAATTCACTTTTGGTGAACATTCTGGTGTTTGGAAAATTTACCAGCTTTATGTATTTAAAATGATAGACAATTTTATAAAAATACCATTTATATTTCAATAGCTAAGAATAATTAAGTACATATTTTGCTGATAATATGTAGATATATTATTATAATCATATTGTAGTAAATCGTATTATTTTGTACAATCTAATTAATTTTCTAGTCAATTAACTCAAATAGAATGTGTTATTATGATCCACAACCCTCCATAGTCCATCATATCCACATTGTTTGGATATTCAGTAGGGAGATACTCGTTTAAACTTTAAATTAATAAACTAACCCTTTTAAGTCAATTTTACACTCTCGCATTGATAAACATGTGAATTAAAGGGTGCACACTATTTTTCGCGCTTTAAATGAATTATTATTATTACTATGATCATAAATTAAATGACATATTACTAAAAACTAATTCTATATTTTTTTTTTTTTTTTTATAAACTGACACAAATGTGTTGAACTAAAATGGTAGTGTTTAGTATCTACTGCTGTAAAGATTTGTAGAATTGTGTACTGGTAAATAAGTTTAAATATAGGTAAATATTAAGTAGGTGTAATAATATTCATCCATTATCCTTAAACAAAAATGCCCCGAGCTGCAAGTAAGACAACGAGGAGTCGAAACAATTAATTCGTTTTTAAATCAAATATAGCTTATTATTGTTATTAATATTAATATATATACCTAATAATTTATTAATATATAAATCTTACATAAAACCAAGTATCTGTTATTACTTTGTAATTCATAACAATATATTTATCAAGTTTTTGTAATATAAAATAACTGCTAAATGGATATTTGTTTAAAAAAATATGTTATCACTAAAAAAATGTACTTGGTGAATAATAAAATACGAACATATTATTACAAAAAAAAAATACAACTTTTGCTGTTCAATTATATACCTAACACATGTAAGTAAAAATTAAATAATTTCAAAAACAATACGACGGATTTATGTATGCAGTTACTAGCTATTTATACAGGCTCAGCTGTGAAAAATCAAACTTTCATAGTTTCATTTATTATTATTTCCAGTCACTAATTTGTGTCTATATCGAATAAATACAAATACAAATACAAATGTGACAAGGCCTAACCAGATATAGATATCTGAATAACCTTTGATTTCGCAATATTACTTAATTCGACTACTTTTGACTGGATGGTAATAAAAAAACCTAATAAAACATGTCTACGGCTTAAGACTCATATTTTCAAGACTCAGTTGCCTATTTGTATATTATGTGTTTGTGAAATGTCATCAGCGGGTACACCTCTTATCCTATTTGGTTTTTTTTCGTATATCTGTTTTATATGTACACATACATATTTTATACACTATACGTCGGCAATGTTTGAATTCTGTCATTCGATTACAACATTTCAAAAGACTCATCCAATAGGAAACTAATATACTATATATGGTCTTCAATTCGGTGTTTTTTTCATGTGTCTGTTTTATAAAATTAAAAATGTATTCACTGTATACATAGTAGTTGGCAGTATTTTTTATACTGTAATTCGATTAAAACGTTTCAAAAGACTCATCAAATATGTAGGCAACTATTATCTATAGATACTATTTAGTCTTTAATTTTGTGTTTTTTTCGTGCGTCTGTTTTATGAAATTAGGTATAAATGTATTCATTATACATAGTAATAGGTAGTATTTTGTATACTGTCATTCGATTAAAACGTTTCAAAAGACTTATTTGTGTCTTTTTTTTTCATAGAGGGTGCGTCGACAGCCATGATGAGTGGTACGAGCCGTATTGGGGTTGTAATAATATACTGTAGCACACTACTACACTAGCACGGCATTATAATATAATATAATACATCATAATTCATATTAATATTACTTTCACAGACTAGCCCCACGTCGTCTAATATGCTGAGTAAGTACACTTTATTATTTACTTTTAAAATATTGTTGCAAAATCTAGAAAAATCAAATGTTTCAGTTAGAAATCTACGTTTACTTCTTTAATAATGTCACTGCTGCAGAGCGAAACGGTGGAATTGTTATAAAATTTATTTTCACGTGGACATTTTTTATCTAGTAACTAGTTAAAAAAATTATATAATACGTAACATATATGTTTCATCTTTCATGTAAAAGCTTTAGAAATTAAAAACCTTAACTTGGTGTAATTCGATGAGACCTAGCTGGCTAGATACCTAATGTAAAAGCAAATAGTCACATACATGTTAAATTCACAATTATAAGCTCCATTTATAATTTTAATAAAAAATAATAAATACATATCGTATTATAATAATTGTGACAAAAAATAAATTATCTTTAAATTATTTGACTATAACCATACCTACATATTATTATTACTACAAAATTGTTAGGTTAGGATGATTTAACGATCCCAATATTCACAAAGTAAACACGCAGACCTGACTGAATTGAGAAATACGTTTACTTATATTATACTGCTAGTAGTCGTATGCAATATTATATTCTACACAGTACACGGTAGACACGTAACATTTGATGGATTTGCTACTTGCAACAATTGTGTTAAACGATATTTCAGTAAATGATGTAGGTAGAACATTTAAGAAAAAATAAACAACTCTATCTATATATTTATAGTGTAGGTGTTGCGGTATGTTCACCGATAAAAAAAAAATAATACATTAATACTAATACTATCAGCCTTAATTGTTGCACTAGGTTATACTGTGTAACCGCAGAGAGGCGGAAAACTTAAATTTTCAAAATGCCACGGTTATTGTAGGCTGCCCTTCGGGTAGGAGTGCGTAACGACGACAGTGGTGGTGAAGTCGTCAATACGACAAAAGGCAGGTAACCTATACGGTGTATATTCAGTACGATGCAGAAAGAGAGGCGCGGCTATACGAAACGTATACGGCGCCGCCGCCGTCGGCCAGACGCAATCGTCGATAAAAACGGTGCGGTGACTTGTGGTGGTGGTGGTGGTGGGAGAGGGGAAGATAACGTAGACCGAGTTTTTGTGTGTTATTTTTCCTAGTACGTTTTGTTTTTACACGGCCAATCATAATAACAATTTAATTATTATTTGCACCTAAATAATTTTTAAATATTATGAGGGGAGTGGATCGTTAAAAAAAATTCCACACTATAGCCTCGAAGTATAGGTAGGCAAGGGGGGGACTGATCCCCTAACAACCCACTACATACGAAATCCGTCACCAATGGATCTGCAACTGTAATATTACGAAACCACGAAAACAAATGACAGCAACGACAACAACAACGACAATAGTAATAATAATAATAATAATAATCGCGATCGCATATCTCGAACGTGTCGCCGGGGTGTATATGTGCTTGCACGTATTTACGGTCACACGGCGGTGGCAGCATCTGGCTTCAGCCGAGGGGTGTATCCACCGGGTCGGGCGGTAAAGCGGCAGGCACGTTCCGGAAATTTAATTAAATCCACGAAACCGCTTTGGCTTTGATTACGGACTGAAAATCCCCTTTCCGTGAAACGATCGTCGGCGAGGACTCGCGACGGAGCCCGACCGCGTTTACAGCGGCGGCAGCGACCCTTGTGCGAGCGTCACGACCGCGGCGGGGTGGACTTGCGCACGACAAACGTCCCTCTGGCCCGCGCCGACAGCTTCGCCGCCTCCGCGCGCGCGACACATTATGGATTTGCCCGTCCGCCCGACGAGTTGCTCCGCCGCCGCCACCGTTCGACCGTATAATAATTGATCGAACGCTCTCTCTTTCTCTCTCTCTCTCTCTCTGTCTCTCTCTCACTCAGTTTTTCGCTTCCTCTTTCATTCTCTCTCATTCTTTTTCTCTCCGTTGTCCTCCGCCGACGGTAGGCGCGCGCACTCGCTCTCCAGACACTGTTCGTACGCTGCCCAAAATAACGAAACGCTGCAATAACGGCGAGCGCGGTGGTACATAGTTGTCGAATGAGTATCATTTCGTCGGTTCATTGAACGGAATTTTTCTGATTCACGATCGCCCCTGATCGCCGACTTACTCGCGATGCACCCCACGGGAGACGAACCGCCAACGGCGGTACTACGGCTAGCCCTTTGACGACCGGGTGGCTGCAACGAGCACATCGACGACGGGGCCGCCACCGCTGACCGTGTCCCGAACAACGTCAGCCGAAACGACAAAGGGTGAGTAGTAGACGCCTCTCGTCGAATGTAATTATAACGTCGGCCTGCAAGTTATTTTAATTATCCTATTCGTCATCATTATTGTGTTATCGGCTTATCGCATGGTCGACGTAATTACGGGATAATCTAACGACGATCGTCGTATACATGTATTTGATAGATGAGTTTATAATACCTACTTAAACTTATTTTTTAAAAAAACCGCCACCTCCACCTTTCCACCGCCATCAGTTCCCGACGCATACCGCTCGCGGAGTCAGTCGGGTGGTAAGGTGTCGCGGGTACCTACATTGATTTAAAATTCTTTTCGAGCCCATCCCGTTATTTTATTTTCGTCACTCGAAACAAAAATTTAAACTGTACCAATTTATTTGTCCATATGATGTGATTGTTATGGTTATGCGGTTTTCAACAATATAATAAATTGTCTGAATTACCATATAGTTACTATCAATACTAAATAGGTAATATAATATATATTATATACATAGACATTTGGTAAGATATATTGGAGATTTGTCTATAGTACCTACCAACCTGCCTATTAAAAACAAACGTTTTGGAGTTCAAAAAAATCTCTAAACTTATTCGCTTGTTTAAATTTTTACTGACTGGTTATTTTAGATTCCGAGCGTAGAGAACGATTGTATTGTATTTACAATGATGAGGGTGTTTTTTTTTCTGTCTGTCATCAATACATTAGTATAAATTAGTATAGATTAGTAAAAATGCTCCAATTTTTGACATTAGCGTCTGTTCTGATAGAAACGTGAACCTAGTTGGTACATTGGAGGGTTAATATTGAAAAAAATTCCTATTACTTTTAGAAAACGTATTTTTTTATGTGCGTTTGAATTTAAAATTTTAAAGTTATTGGATTTTCACTGGTAAATTGGCGAATTTTCATTTATTGATTTTTAATATTTTGTTGTAATTCAAAAACTAATTTGACCCTAGATACTCAAAATGTTCACCAAATGTTAAAATTACCGTTTTCTATACATGGTAAAATATTCTAACTAGATATTTTCCATTTTTATAAATTTTTTTTACTATTAAATTTGATTATTTGTACGAGTGTGCCAGTATGACATAAATGTCATTTAGAATCATTTTTCGTATAAAATGTCGTATTATTTAGTTCAATTAATATAACACATCCATTACAATGACATGCTCAACAACTTCTGTACACCAGTGCGGTAGGTACCCACTTGTCCACCTTTTTTTAAATTGATTTGTTGTAGAAAAAAGTTGTTGTTATTAGTAAACATAAAATATTATGATATTTAAACTTAACTATACTATGTACCTATGTATGTTTTGATTAAGTTTACAAGTGTGAATTAGTATCCTATATCTTAAAACAATTACTCGGTAATATAGTATCTTTGTGTAAAAAAAAAAAACAACTGATAGGAAATAGGTGTTTACCCCCCAAATGATTTTCAAGACATAAACATCAACCAGTCTTATTTTGGACGTTAGGTATAAAATACATTGAATTAATAAATAGAACTATGTTAACATTCGATTAACATTTTAGATATAATAATACCTTGAAATAATACATTTCACCGTGAATAAAAATCTAAATCTGTTTAGGTAAATTTTGTAAACTTGCATATTTTGTTCTATTATCATAGGTACTCAAACAATGTAACAATTTTCTATCTCAAACATTTGAATGTTTTTTACAAATTTCCAGAAAATGTATTGGTTTTTTTTGTAATTTTTAAAATCGATATATACGCCTAAGCCCACTAACAATTCAGTTCGATTATTGAACACACGCATTTTTAATGCACGTGAGTCACACGTAACAGTAAATACAAAATAAAAGCATAATATTATGCGGAAGTCACTTTTAATGACAAGAAGGTGAAGATGTTATACTTAACATTTAACACATAGGTTAGCTCCTCGAAAAATCTAAATTGAATAAATTATTATATTATAGAATACGATTAAAATGCAAATTTTTTTTGGAGGTAGTGAGCTGTTTAAATATGCTAAAATGCCTTATTAGTTATTTTAATATTAATTTTAATTCATTCACATAATAATTATGTGTTAGTTTTTGACAATTGTATTCCTTCTATATTTATGTCATTTATGGTACATTAAATGGTACGATTGTCTACTTTAAATTACGATATGGTAAATAATTTCCTTTATTTTCTACAAGTTATAAGTTTTTTGTTTTACAAACTTTGTTTAAAACAAACTTCGTTGAATTAACATAAATGTCTTTAGTTGTTAGTTAATTATTACACGTATAATGCACATTGTTAAATTGAATTCTAGTAGGTAATTTATGTTATAAATAAATCGGGCAAAGCCAATGAAATAATTTTACTCTTTCGTTCAGCTAAGTATTGATCAAACCCGTTTCGAACAAGTACTAATGCTCTTTATAAATTATAATGAATATAACTCACTAAATTAAATCACAAATACAATACCCAAAAAACCAATAGAAATATATTTAGGACTAATAAATGTAATTGTTAACAAAAAAATAGCTGTATTATATTTGATATTGATAGTAAAAATTTCCCTAAATTCAGATTTGTTAAGAATTTCGTTAATTATAAAGTCTGTCCTGTCTATAATAAATGGTGAACTAATTATTAAATAACTTCTTTGTTTAAGCATTAATTAATGTATATAATTTATTCCTGGCAATATGGATGAGGATTCAAAGTAGTTCTTAATTATTAAAATTATTTGTATATTTTATTTATACATTTCCTAATTATTATTTATTCTTTATTATTGTGTAGTAGGTACCATCGAGTATAAACATATTTACTCAATAGTCAATGGTGGTACCTGTCACAGTTTTTTTTTTTTTTTTATTTGCCCATAAGCTTAATTAGATTGGAACTCTTCTACCCAACTTACCTAAGCTCGCTTACGGAAGAAAATGATTGAATTTGTCTATTTGTTTACACTAGTTATGGAATGATATGAAATAATAAATAAACAAATAAAATGAATCATTAATACCTACATTTAACACAAAATATTTTATTATAATTAGTAAATAAATATAAATATATTTATCATATTATAATTTGATTAATAATATTTGAGTACGTTTTAGTATTAATTTTTATTGAACTATTAATTTTTTTTCTTGAATAGAAATTATTATCATGATTTAAAATATTGTCGATATGAATATGGGTATTCGCGTGTAGTACCAGCAGTAATAATAAATAACGGTATTCATATTTCTCTTGCGTTGTATAAACAATGTAACACTTAAGTGCAAAAACCATCAGCTAAAATCCGTTAAAACTACAAACACAATTAGTAGGTAGGAAGGTAAGGTACTCGAATGAACATTAATTAATTTTTTTTTTTATGTGAGTGGCTTTTTGCAATACGATTGTCGTCCGATAGTATCTATTGTTGCCATTGTGGTAGTTGGAAAAAATCCCAAGCAAAAAATCTCCCTGGAAAAAATTCAAATATTAAATACACCCCGGTAAAAAAAGTCCATGCAAAAAACCCACGCAAGAGATACACAATAACTGTACTAAGTACTTATATACTTACTAATATGCTTCGTACAAATAACCATTATATTATAATTTGTCACAGCTTTTACTTGGCTATAATCTCCACTCTCATGATTAGTTAAATAATATATGTACACAATATATCAATAAATATTCAAAAATTGAAAACGAAAATTTTCTTTTTAGACGCTGAACAATGGTTTTATCAAGTGTACCTACACTAAACCCAATATAGGTACCATTTTTGAGAATATACCATTAGTAACTTGCATTTTGATTTTTGTTACTCAAATATTAATAAAAATGTCGATATATTGAATTTTTAAGCAAAGTACAGTATACTTAATTTATATTGTTGGGTACTATGTACATACATATTTTATATCTTAATTTTGTAAATTGTCTTAAACTATAAAAAAATTTTTTGTTAAAATCGAACATTGAGTTTTTCATGCTGGAAATATTTTTTTCCGGGTTTCGTGTAATGTTCCTACCATTTTAATTTTCAACTGATGTACGAATAAAACAAAGAACATCTCAACACAATGTTTATAATATAATACCTAGGTTTAAACATGAGACAGAGTATAATAATTGAAGTTTTTTGAGGATCAAATTCTCTTATATATTTTATAATATAAAAAGTAATATAAAAATAAAACCCCGGTGTAGGATAACTCTGTAAGAGAACCAATGCGATTGCGTTTACATTCTGGGCATGTTCGTTCGTCGTGGCTGAGCGCACGCGTAGGTTGCACCAAAATTCAAATGCCTACCCTCGACGCTTTCCGTAACATTCGGGACGTCAAATCATTGACACCGGTCGGCCGCAACGAAAGTGATCCTTTTTTTTTCGTTTCTTTCCTGTACTAACAACCAATGTGTGTTAAAACAAACGCGCTCTGATCGAATAACCTAAGGTTAGTGATTATTTATTTATCAGTTTCATGTTGAAATAAATAGATACAAGACAATAATGTAAATAACCAATCGTGTGGAAGTTAGGTCCTCAGTGGAACTATAAATACGTATTACTTTTGTACTTACATTTGTTCGTTCCATGCTTCCATACCTGTAAATATGTTTTATGTTTACCCCCAAATCCAAACATTTTATAGAAATAAAATCGTTTTTTTTTAAACTTTGAAAACTATAATCGAAATGATTTTAGTAGGTAGTCTACGGATGAATAATATATCGTACAAAAATTATTTTCAGTTTTTACACCAATAAATATACATATTTTTTAACTGAAAAATTAAATTATTTACATTTTCAAAGGGTCCGATTGCTTTGTATTTTGTACAGATTTTCCTGTATGCAGAATTCCTATCTGGGTTGTAGATTTTCTGTAGTACCTACTATATACAAAGCTTATAACCGAACAATGTAATGGAAATTTTAGTTTTCATTTCATTTTAAACATTCTACATTTCTAAACTATTAAATTTATTCGTATTGTTTTATTATTTTTAATACTATATGGTACTATCTTTACACTACCTATTCAATGTTTATTATTAAATGCCAATAACTATAACGAATAGACTTAATCAAATTATTTAATTTCTAACTATTTTCGTTTCTAATTGAAATCGTATTTACAATTTATGTTTATACCTACAACAGGCTACAACTTGTAAAGTGTAAAATGTTTAATTTTATACAAAACTAAATATTACTACAACTTAATGACGTTCTACGATATGTTAATGATAAGTATTAATATAAATAACTTGTGATTTGATGATATACAACTGAGAATATAAGTAATAGCATTGTAATAATAATTATTCAAAGCCATTCGATTTTATTATTTTTAGCAGTTAATTTTAAAATTAAATTATATATTATACGTACTTTTATAATAATATTTTTTATTTATATAAGTGTAAACATTATCTATTCATTATGTATTTGTGTAATATGTAAGTGAACGGCTGTGGACACGTTTTTTTTGTTTAGTAAAATAAACATACATAGTTGAGCCAAAAATATAACCTAAAATAATATAGAATCTTCATATCTTTGTCATCAAGTGGTTAATACAAAGGGTAGTTTTCATATCTATAGTCTATACTAACGACTTTAAACGAAATAATCTGAGAAGGAACACCAGATGTGGTCCTTGTTATGAAAAGAAACATTGTTATTATTAGCCCTTGGCGATATATGACAGAGATAATAACATACCGGACTGTCTTAATCGCACGCATGGGACTAATGTTAATTATAAAATACAAAATAACGTTTTAAAAATAAAAATGCCTTTTGTTCTAGGAAAATACTTTTATTCTAGTTATTCTGGAAGTGGAGGTGATTTTAGATTAGAAAATAAATGTTATGGTCATGATCCAATGACCGTTTATATTGGTCTTTTAGCACAAGCATTCGCATCATATAAAACTAGAAACGAAATTAAATTGAAGAGTATACTGAAAGAATTCCAATTAAAGAACCTACCTATAGACTAAAACAAAATGAATAAAAACAATTTGATAGCATAGTAGATTCTTATAGGTCTCGAGTTGTTTTTTCCTAGACGTATAGGAATCTAAATCTAATTAAATTATGTCAATTTAGTGGAAACTTAAAGTTTACATTACTACCATTGGTATAAAATAAAAGCTTAGTTGAAAGCTGGTTAATAGTTGGTATCATACAAAAAACGAATGAATATTATTAAAGATGTATGCATAGGTATTTTATAGTCTCCTATTATAGGAAATAAGCTAATTGGGGTAATAACTGTAGGTAGTAGGAATTCTAATGATTACCAGAGATTTTTCAAATGTTCCCACCCTGATTATAAGGTAGTGATTATACTAGGGTAGTTTAACCTAGTATAACTTCTTTAGATGTTACTGCTCACTGCTGCATACGTTTTATTTATTTAAATTAAAAATTAAAACCATACAATAAGAACCGCATACATATTGAATGTTAACGGTAGGTACCTACAGAATATTTTTTAAAAGAAACAGAATACATTTAGGTAATTAACTACCTACCTATTTAAGTACCTACTTAAAAACGATTGTTTTTATACTCTTGCGTTCTTTGTATTAATATAAATAATACAAATTTATTTTATAGTAATATAATCTATTTAAAGCTAAGTAGGCAATAAATACATTTTTATATAAGTACTATGTTGTCTATAGGTACCGCTTAACTAATATTTAAATACAAATAAGTTGTATTTTAGAACATAATATGTACTGAGAATACCTTTATATTGAGAACCTCTGAATATAATATAAGTACCTACTCGAAGGAAATTAAAGAATAATACTTTATTAGTTAGAAAAAATAACTTTCCCTTGTGTATCAATGTATCATGCATATTATTTAATACTATTATAATTAAACAACTACCGAAGATTAAACACACTAAAAATTATTCAGTTCGTCTTATATATTCAATATATTGTATTATAATACCTGTATAATATTATGTCATAGACACTACATGAAATCGATCTTTTCATGAAATGGAAACGGTGTTCTCAAACTTCATGAAAAAAAATTTATGATTTAAAATTGGAGAGACCATAATATTATCATGAAATATTTTTGTATTTACAATTATTATTATTATTATTATTTATTTATTTACGTCATATTAAATAGCATAAACGGATTTATACATTTATTTAAAGATACGGCAGTTATACACTTATACTTATACGTATTATCAATATTTAGTATTCAATATAAATAAATATTTAACTCATATTAAATATACAAAAAAAAAGTTTTTTTAATATTACAGTAATTTGTTTAAATGTTTATATAAGGCATTTTAAACAAAACAATGAGTTATGACAACGGTTGTTACATTTTATGATATACCTACCCCTAAAACAAGCACATCGTTTTGATTGACACGCACTTTTAATCAAACAACTAAGGAACCAAAACCCCTAACCTTATGAGTTATGATACAAAATGGGTAGTTTCACGTAAAGGGAATTATTTTTGTTTGTCGACTGGTACCTATACAGCTAAAATAAAAATTGTAATGTCATGCTACAATGTTGCATAATTTAAAAACATTTAATTGAAATACGTGAATGTAGAATAGGTTGTAATCAATAACTTATCAAATAGACACTTGAAGTGACCATTTACTTTATTTATTTAAATATTTTCGTATTTCAAGAATTGTTTATGATATAATATTTAAAAACTACTTTCTTTAAATGTATTAAACTAAAAAATAACATTTTATCAAATTTTCATTTTGGAAAATAAAACTGATATACAAATAAAGAAAGCATATCTATGAAGTTTAATAAATAACCAATGTAACTTTTATAATATCTTATACATTTTAATTGCTTTGGAAATAAGGATATATGATAAAATATCTATAAAGTTCTAGCATAAAAATATATAGTGGTCATAGAAGCATAGAATAGATAATAATAACAATAATAATAATAATAAAAACTATCAAGTTATCAATTTAGAATTGTAATATAGAATAATTAGTTTAATTATGGGTTTATATTACATTATTTATGATTATGAACTAAATTAATTTACAACAATAGCTAAAAATGTAATATAAAAATAAAAGACATTTCAAAAATTAATATAGCGTGAATAAACGGATCACTCGAGAATTTATTCTTTATAAATGCATTTTTTGCTAGAGAGACTGAATACAATTTCAATACGCCCGACTACTTGTATAAAAAGAGAGTAGGTAGTTTGTAAGTTTGGCAGTTTTTGCTTTATTGAATCAGAAACTGATTCTTTATTCAATCTTACTGTCGTCCACGTTAAAAAGAAATGCTTCTGATCAGCCTGACTGGGTTGTCACAGGATTTTTTCCATTCTATAAAATGAAAGCCCTATTATTAAAACGAGTTTTTCAGACGTATTTCAATCAAGCCACTCCCTGTATTGTCAATCCCAGTACTAAAGTCCTGAAATGTAGGGGTTATTTTCTACTTAGTACTTATATGCAATGTACTTAGAGAATCATGTAACTTTTTTCATTTTCCTTATGAAAATTGCTAATAAAATATTACTCACTTTTTTGTGATATAGAGAAACTTTGTCAGGACTTATTTCTCGTACACGCGAAGTGTGCTATGTTTGAATATAAGTTTATAATATTATTGCAGAACTGCATTTCAATGGTATTATTGGAGAATCATTATTTATAAGCACAATGCTCACATTTTCTATAGTAGAATTTATTATGTTTATAAAATAAATATTTAATTTTAATACTGTTCAGACGTACAATATTAAATTTATTGATCGAAGCTTACAATTTTTTTACAGACGAATTATTGTACAATCAAAGTCAATAGTCATACTATTATATTATTTGATCAAATAAACAAGAATAATTGATGTAACTTACGTTTATTTCAGTTTAATTTTATTACATTTTTCTCAGGTTGTTAAATAAAATTAAAAATATATTTTTTTAACATTTCTCCGAACTTTTTATATTACTCTCTATTGCATTGGCATGGATATAAGTATATAACATACGATATCATCAACAAATCATTGACCTGCTGCTGGGTTCGGCGAATCAAACAGTTTTCTATTAAAATATAAAATGTTAATAATTATAATGATCACTGATCTGTGGTCGTATATTGTAAATTACCTACTCACAGTATCGGCAATTGATCATATTGAAACTATTAGGTAATAATAAACCAAATAGGTAATTATTTAGTTCCCTTTTGTATTTTACTCAATAAACATATTAGGTATTTGCATTGATTATAAATACTTTGAATCCTATGACGAGGGAAAGGGAGGACTCGTAACATGCACATCCGACTATCAGAGTTCTAATTGTTCTAATAACGTTCAACTCGGATTAACAATGAGGCGCAACGTGTCACTTTTCATAATCTATGCACAGTGGCACGTCGGCCTTCATATAATTATAATATTACTTAGGTTGTTCTTTAAGTATAATATGCCTTTAATAGTAGTTAAGAAAATCGTTATTTGGCAATACAAAATAAAACTTCCACTCTAAAAGTGCAATACATTTAATTATAATCTATAAACATTCAACTTTTTATATTGCCACAAATGGGTTTTCAGAAGTAACTGAAGTAAGAAATATTTATCGTTGTTAAACTAGTAGTGCTATAACATTAAAGTTTCACAAAATTGCAGAAATTTCTATATTCGACAAATTCAAAATGTTCTCTCCGTGAAAAGTTCATACTAAGAAACTTAATCAATTTTCATCGGATGAGAAACTATTTAATTCGTAAGGAATATGCATAGGTACGTTTTGTATAAAACACAAATTATTAATACTTAACCAAAGAGCATACTCTATATAATATTATATTTAATATTATAGTTTGGAAAAAATGCTATATTCACAACAGTCAATGTTTACTTTTCGTGTACCTACCTAGCTGACGGTAACCAAGAAATACCTTATAAATATGATATCTATAATCGACTTTCGAAGACTTCGAAATCAGTGATGTGCGCATGTTCAGTCATTGATGCGATGGATTTATTTCAACAAAAGGTTTTACTCGCCATCATAGGCATGCAGCGCTGTCCGTTGAGGCAAAGTAGGCCAAACCTATGGGCAATGAATGATAATTCAAAACATTTTTAATTTAATTGATTTATATTCGTATTTATGCGTCACATCGCCAACTATGTATAGAGCATAAATACAATCATTCGACATTTACATAAAAAAAACAATGTCAAGCTTTTTAGGGTTAAAGATTAAAACGGGGAACATCATAAAATAACATATAAATATACAATAGATATCAGCGTATATAACGTATGCCGTATGAGTACCTAATTTATTAATATATTATGTTCATATCACTTGGTTTGGATATTCTATTTTTGTATTATACTTATCAGTTAATCAGTTTAATATATGGTACCTGATAACCTATACCTACCTACTTTGTTAATTAATTTTATACAAGTGTCTACTGCATGAATGTTTAGATTGTATACGCAAGTCTCAGATTTTTATTTGGTAAAATTAATAGCCTATCTTAAAGATACTTGAATTTTATTTTTCGATGGCTCAAACAAATCTTTGAAATTATTTATGTTTTTGTTTATTTACAAAATAGAGATACTATAAAATTGTTGTATAATATTGTCCATAAATAAACCCATAAATCAAAATATTATTATTCTTAAAATGCATGTTTTGTTAATAAATAATTATATGGATATATGGGGGACGGAGTGGCCGAGAGGTCTAAGGCGTCGGTTGAGACGCAGCCGATGCCGGCTCGATCCCCGGCCGCGGGCGGCATTTTTCTTCGGGCAAGTCACGATGTCCGGAGAAGAAGTGCCACCATCCCCCACCCGGACATGGCAGATACCTAAGGGTGCCCACTAAAAAAATCTGCCAAACACACACGCGTTCCATCCCCTACCACCTCCAACCTCTGTAGTTGAAGCCTCAACCCCCCCCCCCACAAAAAAAAAAAATTATATGTATATAATTATTTTTATTAATTTCGTAAGCGTTATAAGCGAGATATAAACAATTGTAAATACTTATTATTGTTTTTTTAAAATTACGTGTAGAATATTTTTCTGTTGGCTACACTTTTAAAAAAAAAATAGTATTTGTTATTTTGGTACGAAAACAATAAAGCCAGACAAGTTGCGTCCATGGTAATTACAAAAATTATATTGTCAGTTGCTAAAAGACAATTTTAAAATAAAAAAAAAATGTTTACTATATTTTACCTGCACTAATGAAATGTACAATACCCACAAAAAAAACACAAATATATATATTATATGTATATGTATATATGTATATATACATTTATAAATGTTTTATTGAAAATAAAAACCAATAACTAATATTTTCTAATCTATATTTACATATAACTTTGTTATTGATCACTGTTGCTAATAATAATTTGTCATACAATAAATTAAAAATCGATAAAGTGACAAATGTTATTTATTTTAGAACATCATAATAATATTTAAAATATCCAATGTCGAGTATTTTATTTTTAATTATAAGTAGCTAGGAGCAAATATCTACGGCTTATCGACCGAAGTAAACATTTAAATTATTTATACTATAAGTACATTTATGCTTTATTAACTATTGAATAATAATTAGGTATTTAACACTTAGTATAAGTAGTTCTAACTTTTCATCAATTTTCTATGCAAGTAAAATGTATTTATAATGTTTTATACTATTTGTATTGTGTGTTTAGGATTTTACAATGAACAGTTTATCAGCATGTTAATATTTGAAGTGGAAAATTATTCAAAATGATGTTCCCTGGAGAGCTTAATACAAATTCAAGGGCTAATCCGCCTGTACCAGTTTTTCCATTAAGGTCTACGGGATTAAGTTCTCAATATTCGCCGTACTCAACTTCAAGATTTCAAGAAATACAACAAAAATGCAATTTAAAATGCACATGGAAATGCAGTTTTCTTCTAATGGTCTTTGTTACCTTCATAATCACCACATTCCTTATTTACTTGATGGGTTAGTTAATAACAATAAAAATAATTTAAATTCCATTATGATGTACGATTTGTTTCTTTGAAAATAGCTATGAGGAAATCATGTACAGACATAAGAGAAAAATGTTTATATATGGAAAAATCAAGGGCTATTGCAATGGATTTGGAAAACTCACTGAAACTTACCACTGAAGGTAAGAAATAATTGTATTTTAATATCATCAATAATTAGACAACAAAATATAAATATCTATACCTATCTACATATCAACATTACGTCATAATAACCAAATTAAAATACTTTAATTGTATACCCTTAATATAGGGATTAATGTTTGGAACATGTTAATAAATCGTGTTAAATATTTATAATTTTAAAATAAAAATAAATTATTTTAAATTAAATTCTAGATTTAGTTATACATATCACTTAATGTTTATCGTTTATATATACCATACATTTTTTTAAGCTCATTTTATTGGGAAAAATGTTGTCAAAATATGTATTATATTTTTTTGAATATTTCTTATAAATAATTAATTTAATTTTTAATACATAGTATTTTTAATATATTTTATTTATATTATTGATATTTAATCAACCAAAGTTTATTTGTTTAATTGAGTTTATATAAAACTAGATTTAAAAAGAAAAAGATTAAATATTAGTCGATATGTAGTTTTATTATCATTTAATAAGAATTTTAGATACGTCATACATTTTAAAAAAAAAAATTTTAAAATAACAAATTTAGTTGTGGTATTTAATAGATTTTCTGATGAGTTAATTCAACAAGCACATTCTTAGAAATAGGTTAACGATAATATCTATAAAGATATATTTTTTCTTATATTTCTATATTTTTCTAACCGTGTTTTATATACGTGGGTAATAAATAATTTATATATAAATTACCTATGTAACAAAATTAAATTAATTTTCGATAGTGGCATAGTTTGTGATTAACTTGTTACACTAAGTCTATAACGTTTTAATACATAAAATCGTTTTTTCAGCTCCGCCATTGACGACGACTACTGTTGCAAATGTATCAATACGCGATAAATTTAAAAGCGATGTAACTCCAGAAGATCAAAGTGATTTGCATCGCCAACATACTAGGTATCAATGGCCCTCAGTCTTGGAGATAACTAGCTTCAGTACTCCATACAGTTCCAATGTATATCCATACCATTTTTGGAATTTGGAGTTTTATAATAAACAACCAGTGTTTATGAGGCTCAACCTAACATTGCCATGGGGAGCTAATTTCGCTGTTTATGGTCGACGAAACGTAGCTCCTAGTATAACCCAACATGATTTTTCGGAATTCATTAAGGGAGGTAGATTGGATAACAGGCTAAGTCGCAGGTCAACAGATGTTATCGAAAAAGATCCTTTGGTCGTTAATGTGACATTAATACAGTACTTAGACACGGGTCGATGGTTTTTGTCCATTTATAACGATGATCTCCGACCACACACGGTAGTACTTAAAATCGCAGAAGCCGAAGATGTCTCAACGACTTGTCCCAACGAATGTTCCGGGCATGGGTCCTGTTATCTCGGAAAGTGTGACTGCATCGATGGATATCAAGGAAACGATTGTTCTAAAAGTAAATATGTTTGCATTTTTACATTTCTATCGATTTGATTGAAGTTTGCTAAATTGTACTAACTAATGAGCGAAAAACCCATCAAGGTGTATGTCCGATGTTGTGTTCAAACCACGGAAAATACGGCGGAGGCCTTTGTCATTGTGAAGAAGGTTGGAAAGGTACAGAATGTGATATACCAGAAACAGATTGCAGAGTAGCCGATTGTTCTGGACACGGTGTTTGTAAAAATGGTGTATGTCAATGCCAACAGGGATGGAAAGGAGATGATTGTGACGAAGGTACTGTGATATTTTTATTTATTATTTGATTATAAAGATATATTTTTGTTTTCAGTGGACTGTATGGATAAAAGCTGTTCTGGCCACGGTATCTGTGTATCAGGTAAATGTTATTGCAAAGCTGGATGGCAAGGCGAAGATTGTTCATTAATGAATAAGCAAGTATTCCAATGCCTCCCTCGTTGTTCAGACCATGGTGCATATGATTTAGAAACGGGAGTTTGTATTTGCAATAAATTTTGGACTGGGCCAGATTGTTCGCAAGGTATATTTACTATACGTTTTTCGTTCACTCGTTTTGAATTTAAATCTTTGATTACATGTCATGTCATGTCCATACATTACTGATTTCAGCGTTGTGTAATCTCAACTGTGGTCCACATGGAAAATGTGATCAAGGTAAATGCGAATGTGATATTGGGTGGACAGGTGATAAATGTGATCAACTCCCTTGTGACGAGAGATGCTCTGAGCACGGGCAATGTAGAAACGGTACATGTGTATGTTCTAGGGGATGGAACGGCAAACACTGTACTTTTCGTGAGTTAAAGATAATAACTAGATTCATAATATTATGAAATGTTGTTTTATTCTAAACAGAATAAATGTTATTATAAGCTCAATTTTTTCGAATTTTCCAGAGGGTTGCGATAACGGTTGTGCTAATCATGGAAATTGTGTCTTGGTTAATAACATGTACAATTGTGTATGCAATGATGGATGGGAAGGAGAAAGCTGTTCGGTTCGCTTAGAAATGGAATGCAACGATGAAATCGATAATGATCAAGGTATACCTAGATTTCAATTAGTGATGAGTAAAACAAAGCAAATACCAATATTTGACATACTTTTGGTTTTAGTATTGTTGCAAAATCCTTGCAGTCTTTAATTTTTCTCTTAATATATTATATAAAAAAAAATCATATACAACTCATTTATACTGTCCAGTTGACTTGAGGAAGTACAGTGTTTTATTTTGCATTTATTTTACTTTTACTAAGTACACAGTTTAAAAAACCAGATGTTTTGTTTAAAACACATATATTGTTTTAAAATGTTCATTAAAATAATTTTAATATAGGTTGAGTGTATAATTGTTTTTAAAAGTGAAACTCTATTTGTATTTATGCTAATATCACAGTTACTCAGTTAAATTATCCTTAGTAACTTCATCATTCGTCCAAAAACTGCATTTTATTTAAGAAATAAGATTATTTTACACTTACCCATGGCATATAAAATAATATCAAGAAATCTAACAAATATTATAGTTATATGCCTAGCAAATTTTACCATATTATTAATATACTTATATGCCTAATATATATAAATTCTAAATTCTAAAACTATACGATAATAAGGTGGTATCCGTATATAGTATGTAATTATAATAATATATTGTATTCAATATTTATACGGGTTACCTAACTAATAAAAGTCAGGTATATACATTTCTAGTAATAATGATAAATCACTATTTACTAGAATCTTGCCATTTTGCTCTTTTATATTGCACTTCAACTCTTGTTCATGGTCTTGCTGGGGCACCTATTTACAATATTTGTCTTGATCTGAAATGCAACATCAGACCAAGACCAAGGCTGCAAGTTTATGACTAATTTTCTCACCACTAATTTCAATTATAATTACTTAGTGACCCTAAGACTTTATGAGTATTTAAAAATATAAAATAGTACCTACCTAACATACCAATGATATGTTTATCTAGGTACATAATGTTTAAAATATTTTATATTTTATATGTATACAAAAATATGTATTTACGACTTGTGGTTAAAACCATTAAAAAAATGTATATTATTTATTATAACATAATATTTTTAATTTAATAGGTATTCTGTTTTACTATAATGTATAATATAACATAATTAACATATATAACTGTTTAGATGGAATGACTGATTGTTCAGATAGTGAGTGCTGTAATTCTGCTTCGTGTGCTGAGCATATAATGTGTTTAGCTTCCAATGATCCTCTTGATGTATTACTAAGGAAACAGCCACCGTCGGTAACGGCTTCGTTTTATCAAAGAGTGAAATTTTTGGTAGAAGAGCATAGTGTCCAAAGCTATGCACATTTGGATGAATATAGAGAGAAGTAAGTGTTTGGTTATGTCATTACACCTATTCATACATGATACATATTATATATTTCAATCACTCATTTAAACAAATGTATAATGATTCACATGTTAAATACAATTATTTTCAATATTCTCAAGTTTGAACAAATTAAAGGCGCACACTAAGTATAAGCTGTGTGTACCAAAATACACAATCATTGGTCGTCCGTATATCAAATAATTTTAAATATATTTTTTGCTTAAATTTACTCAAAAAATCCATGCTAAGGTACATTTTTTTTAAAGCATAATTATATTATACACATTTAGCTACTATAATCAAAGAAAAGACAGCTAACCTTGAACTGAAAGGATAACGGTAAATTGATTTATATTTCTTAGTTTCGGATTAGTATTTTTTCTAAATGCTGATCCAGTATTTAGGAAGACGATTCCAAAAAAATAAAAATATTCCCAAATTTGTTATTACCATTTTATAATCAATTTATAATCATAAAATATCGTTTTGTATTATTTAAAAATAAACAATTTAGACATTTTAGAAAACTGCCAAATGACCAATCCATTGTTAGAGTAGGCATGTATTATATTTCGAATGTTTTCCAATATACATAAATGATAAGTTGTATCTAAAAAATAGATCAGTACGACAGTACGACTTCTAAAAAACAATCAGTCTCGTTGAGTATTTTATTTTATTCCACTGAGATACAATTAATAAGTAATAATAATATGTTTAGGTGTATGGGGTTGGATAGATTCAACTATCTTTTTTTTTTTATTGTTATTTTACTTGTTTTACTTATTTTATTTTCAACACTGTGTTGTGTGTGTTAATGCTTTTATTACATAGATATGTCGAAATTCCATTGTGTACGTCTCGAAAAAAAAATACTTGTGACTCATTTCTTACTTTATTTGTAATAAGTAGCTGCCTGTGTAGTACCCTTTTCTGAATAAAAATGTTGTTCCAAAAGGCTTGGCTTTCGGCAAAAACAATATATATATACTTATATATATTTATATGTATATATACATATTTATATTATATGTTATATATATTATGTATATATACGTATACTTTTACATAATCACATTTACACTTAAATTACGTAATTGTGAAACGACAAGCTTGATAATATCAAGATCGACATATGAAAAACGAGCATTACGAGACTTTTCAAAATGCAGGTGGAGTTCGTTTTGGTTATTAAATAGAATTTTCAACACAATATAGTTGAACAAAATAAAATATTCTAACGCTGTTAAGATGGTATACTATTGTTTAGTTTAAATTGTTATCATAAAGGAAAAGTAATAAAACTAAAACACGCAACACAATTCATATAAGTTTAAATCACACGATTAATGTTTCTCAAAAATTTATGTTTAGTACCTACATAATATATTATGATTTAAGAACAATTTTTAGACATCTTAAACAAATCTATTTATTAGAAATGTCGTTCTTTGATTTTACTAAATGCTATTAAGTATATAAGTTAATTAAATCGTATTTTATCATTTACCAACGAACTCCGCCATACTTTTGCGTTTGTAAGAAATTGCAATTTACAAACATCAACTGGGCTAATCCAATGTTCAGCTCAATATTTCTATATTTGGTTTGTTTAAGATGTCTTGAGCTCACAAGAGTTAGATGATAAGATGTTTTTTTTTATATATTTTAAAATGGTATTTTGGTAATATTCCTTCTCTTTTTCATTCTCTTTTTTTCTATTGTCCGTCCTCGTACACTTCGAAACGAATATGTACCATAGTGAATTTTGGAACTCCTTTACACCTGGGTAAGTTTACAAATTATAAATTGTAATTTTGTTTTTGGTTTTTTTTTAATATTTCATAAAGCTTGTATTTGGTTTTTTTTTCTGACAGCACATAGTCAGATTGCTCATCATTTTGTTCTCATTTTGGTAAACAATTTAAGAAATGACTAATTGATTATAATAATATATATAATAATTTTATAATTTGTTGTTTGCGAAATTTTTAACCCAGATTATAGTAATATTTATTTGTTCGTAACTTCATCAAGAATGAGTAGATTTTTGTTGCCTATAATAAAAACTCCCCTTCTAGTATCTTATAATATTATGAACTATATTATCCGATTTAACAAATGAACATTTAACTATTCAAATAAAGGTATAAGGTAACAGCATGGGAATTGTTTATATACAGAGTTGGTGTCGATGTCGTTTACGGGATTAAAAAAAGCCCGTGATTATTATATTGGTTAAGAGAAAAAACGTTAACTATTAGCATAGTAAAACTCCACCTGCAAAATTGTTTACAAATTTTACTACTTCGTTGATATTAATAATAATAATAATAACACAAATTACGCTGTTGATCGAAGTTGTACAAGTTTGTTTTTTATACTATACTTACACATTTTGGTTAGCTTATTAATTACTACAATATACAGATAACCTCAGCTGATGCTCTTGCGATATGTTTACAAGTATAATACAGGTATCTACAACTTTGTTTTGTGTCATATGTGTCTCTAAATGTGTCGTCCAGTAGTAATTAGCATATAGGCATTAGAAGCAAACATTTTAGCACTGATATTAAATATTTTGTTTTATAGGTTATTTATATTTTATTTATATTAATTTAAAAAAAAACAAACTAACAAAAAATGAATACCTACACGATTGTGATTTTTATGATGGATGAATCGATAACGTGGGTGATATTATTATATAATTACAATATCGGTACTTACCTAAGATAATTATTATTATTATTATTATTATTATTATTTTTATATTTTGTCACGATATTATATTACCATTTTTTGGGGGGATATTTATATACATTTTTTTCATCGATATTACATTTGCGGATATTTTAATCAAGTTGTGTATTTTTTTTTTTGTTTACACATGATTATATTTTCATCACAATATCATATAAACTTAGAATTGTACAAGATGTACAAGATTTTACTCTTCTAAGTTCTAAGTTCAAGATATTATTAATGACGAATAGATTAGTATACCATGCTGCTGCCTTAAACTTTTAAGCCAAACAATTGTTTAATGCGTAGTATAGGCAGCTCCCAGCAATCTCTCAAAAATTCAAGTCAGTTACCTACTTAAAATCTGTGTAATTTTCTTACGTGTTTATTGTTAACTGTTTAAACACATATTGATACATTCATAACTTTATTAAATTTTCCTACAATACCTACAAATGTAGATTTGATTTGAGAGTTGACCATTTAGTAAAATTACAGTATGATCATACATTAAGTACATTTTATTTTAAGTATTATTATTAGTATTGAATTAATTTGTTTGTATTATAGGTAGCAATGTTTTTATATATTTCGATCGGGTCAACGATTTCCGTATATTGGTACCTACCTACCGCGATTTGGTCAATCCTATCGAATTTATGGTTTAACGATGCTACATTGGTGGCAGCTATTTTTTTCTCAATATTTTTCGTATCTGACTAATTAATTCGCATTTTTTTTGTGTGTACATCCGTATATTAGGTATACCTATTGTGTTTCTGTTAAAAAAATAAAACTTACAACACCAACCACAACGAAATCATTATTGCATGTATATTTCTCTCTGTTATCACCGACAACGCGAAATAATGCTTGTTTAAAACGTCATTAGAATAGATACAGCACATCATTTTATGCAACAGCCTACAGAACCAAACACTTTCGGCTTAATATTTTGTCTAATTTATGCTTATTTTTATTTTTTTTTGTTTTGTTCAGGCGTATTCTGCTTTTTGCATGCGAACGTATACATAATATTATTATCTACTATATTATTATGTATCAAAATAACAACATTGTAAATATATACCTAAATTATTGTTTGTTTGATTTTCGAACAGTATAACCATTGTTTAATTACCTACTGATTAAACTACCGTAAATCGTGTATACAAACATCAATGAATGGGATATGAATTATGATAATAATAAAACTTGTAAATATGCATAATATGCAGATATTATCTACCTACTTATTAATATAGAACCGTACTCAGTTAGAAGACGTATAATATGGCCTAAACATCGCGTTGATAACTATTATTGCAGTCATAAGTATGGATTTGTTTATCGATTAATAAAATATGCTATTATTACTAAATCATTTATAAACATGCAGCTAATATCCATTTGCACTCATAATTACATTTTAACTATCTACTAATAATAGTGAACAAAAAAGAGTAACGATTTTGAACTTATTTTATAATCTGTTATAAAAAGCCAAAAGCCGAATTGGAAATAAATCAACTTTATTCCAGCGCCTGTAAATGTTGCTTGTTGAATTGTGGCGTCTTTGTATCTTTCAATATTTTTAGATTTTTTTTTTTTTTAATTATCATAGTTTTACAAACCGTTTCATTTTTCAATTAAAATTTTTCTTCGTATAGTAGCCGTAGGTGTCTTAACTTTTTAATTGTGTCACACAATAATTGTCATTTCTGTAACGTTTTTTTTGTTATGTTTAGAGTATAAAGTTAAATATTGGCAAAACGCACACGTTGTACCTACAATTATATAGACTGTTGAATCAGCTTTCATTGGGCTGATTTTTTCAATGCCTAAATTTTAAGATTTTTTTTTTATTGGGCTATTATATTGGAATATTTAAGTCGTTAGATACTTAGGTATGTTTTATGTGTCATGTACTCATGTGTGCCTATGTAACAACTCTAATTAACTGATCAAGAGTAATCAAATTGGTTCAAAATAATTAATGACAATTAATAAAATGTATAATTAATTAAAAATTATTTACTGTACTTATAGGTGAATTGTTAACCCATATGGCCATATTACCCACCAACTTTTTGATGAATTGTTTACTAGTCTTATTTTATTTCAATAAAAGTCTCTGTAAATAAATTAACAGTAAAAAAAGGAAACTAGATACAAAACAATAATTAATTAATGTTCATAGGAAGATGATATTAAAAAACAAAATTTGTCACATATTGTAGTGGTTGGAATGTAATAACTCCATGTTGATATAATAATAAATATAAATATAAATATTATTTCTGTATTATATTATATACCAATTTAATTCTTAAAATAAATCAGGAAAATACAGTACCTACGCGTCGCTTGTCATCAAAAAACATTTCTTCATCAAAAATAACATTATTTGATATTACATTATATATAGATATAACTGATTTTTAGACCTTTTCCCATGTTACTATTGGCTTAGTTCTTTTTCTTCAAGATTTTCTACTTGATTTTATCTATTTACTCTTTTATTATTTTAAATTTTCCCCAAAAGATCTTCCATAATAATTATTAATTCGATCGCTGATACTTTTGAATTTCAACTTTCTTTAATAAGAAAGAATTAGTAAATAAGAAAAAAATTTAAATACATAACTACAAATTTTTTTTATAATCATTTGAAGTACGATTTTTGACAAAATAAGTAAAGATCAAAATTATTTTGAGTTAGAAATTCATAAAAATGTTTGTTTTTAAATCTAAGAATTGAAAATTCAATACAAGATTCCTCATAAGTTTTATTGAGTTCATAAAAAAAAAAGGTCTACCATAAAGTCAAATTAAAATTTTATGAACGTTTGAAGTTCAAATTGTTACAACACTGAATATTTATTTCATTCGATTTTTCATGTAGTGATTTCCTTATTTTGTTGTATTTCAAAAATGAATATCTGTAGATATTTGACATTTACACCATATATTAATTTTATACATTCCTATACTTGATAAAATTTCAAAATATTTTTTTTAATTTTAAATTTTTTTAGTTTTTTTTTCTATAAATGTCAATAAAATTAGATTTGTTTTGTCCAAAAGCATGAAAATTTAATAAAAGGCTCCTGATATATTTTTATTATAGTGGTTGAAAAATATTAAAAATACTTAGGCACAAATTTTTTTAATAAGCTCTTAAAGTTCGAATTTTGACAATACTTATTAAATTGAAATGTTTTTGTAGTTAAACATTTTAAAAATCAACAGATCTAGTGTTTTTTTTTCAAATTATTAATTACCAACCAAGTAATAAATTATATGATCTATACAATCAAATCGTTATAAAATCAAACGAAATAATTTAAACCCCTTGGATATTAAAAAAAAGTTAAATTACATGTAGGATTTTTTAGTTTTTAATAGTCTTCTTTAAACTGTCTATACTATAGCCTATAGCCTATAGGTGATGAACTATTTTATGGGTTAGGTTTCAAAACCAAAAAACAATTCTTAATAGAGTACAACATTTTATTTTATTTGTTGGTTTGATACAAATTATAGAGTAATTATCGTTACCTAACTTTTGTATACGTCCAATAAAAATTACTTAAAATAAATATTATGTGTTTGGGTACATAATATATCTTAGATAACCATCCTACAAAATATTTAAAAATGTACAAAATCGATAGTTTCAATTATTTTTCATCTAAGAGACAATTTAAACAATGATTAAAACTTTAAAAAAATACGGTTAAAGTGGTAATTTACTGTCAACTCGTGATTAAAAATGGTTTAATGTTGACATTTTAAAATTATAAATACTAATATTACTATATTGTTTTTGATTAATGTTTTAAGAAGAAAATAACATATGTTCGACGGCGGCTTATTGGTTTATTTAATAGGTACTAATTGTATTAACATGTAAATGTGTTTTTTCTCTAGACGAGTATCAGTAGTGCGGGGCCAAGTATTGTCACCGCAGGGGTTGGGAATTATAGGCATTCGAGTCTCAGTGGATAGAGATTCGAGATTTGGATTCACGTTGACTAGAGCTGGTGGATGGTAAATAAAATCAATGAATATTAATCCTTAGGAATGTATTGATCGAGTATGTGCGTGCTTAGGTTTGACGTAATGGTCAACGGCGGTGAAGCAGTGACTCTTCAATTTCAGCGAAGCCCGTTCAATCCCCAGACCAAAACACTGTACGTGCCCTGGAATCAGATCGTATCCTTATCGTCGATAGTAATGACCTTAAATGAGGAAATGGATTCATACAAAGAAACCACGTTGGACTCGAATGGTAGCTTTCATTGATAATTATTTTACCAATACCATAGTGAATAACTGTTTTTATAAATAAATTACCATATGCGTAGGTCTATACGAACATAATTCGTACAATGTAACACCGTGCATTGATCACAAAGAAAATCCACAAATTGTATCTACGTGGTTGCCAGAAAAAATCGGAGGCATGCCAGGAAAAAGTGTTATATTCGCGGAAACACAGGTAAAATTGTCCTCCTTAATGAGTTTTATATATAATGTACAGTTATTATACTTAAGATAACTGTACATTTGTTTCTATGCTATTTCAGGCTTCATCACAATAGGTCACGGTTGAAACTTTTCACTTTAAATTATCACAAATATTGTTATCAGTCTTACTTTATAATCATTATTTATAAGTTTATCACCATCAGTTCCTTTTTTAAATGTTTGACAGGAGTTAGAAATAAATAAAATTAATCCCCCTGAACCGACATCACAGTAGCCAGTAACTATTAAAGTATAATTAATATTCTTATGTTTATGTAACAGTTATTGGCAAACCATATTTTCTCTAAAATATTGAAAATAAATCATTTAGTATCTACTGGATAATTTGACAAAAAATGATCTTAGGAACTAAAATATACTTCATGTAAAGTAATTATATCTAAGTTAAGAGCTTATGTCCTGAGTATAATCTACTAATAACAACAGTGACAATTATTATAATTATCTTGGTATGCATGAAAACTTCAAGAATAACTACTATATACAACGACCAAATTATTATTTTCTGAAACACAACTTGAATTGTTAGGCCAGATAATAATAAAAAAATATGCGTCAGACAAAATGCTCACAAATTACAATTTAAAGTATATACCACTTTTTAGTGCCAATAATTGTATACTTTAGTATGCCCACATGCATGTGTTGTCTCAGTTTTACGACAAATCTAATTTGTGTTCAGCAATTTCATTTTAAATAATAAGAAATAACATTTTATGATAGAAAACATTGACCTATCATCAAATTTAAAAGTTTTTTCATTTTGTTTCTAATGTCTGTAAACTCTCATTAGGAGCCGTACTGCTGTTATCTCTTATGCTTCAGATATCGTTACCTAGTGAGGGTAAACCAGTTGGTGTTGAGTTGCACCGTTGTGATTGAGTATGAAGTTGATTAAAATGTGTCGAATAAAAGTTAATTTCCTAACGAAAAGTGTTATTATTATTATTGTTAGATCCCGATAGTTAACATGTCAAAAATCCTTTGTATATAATGTTGGCTATAGAGGATATTATACATACTAGGTGGTCATATAATTTTTTTCAGGGAGGGGGGCAAACTTCATATAGGATTGATTTTATTTAATTTGTTTATACACAGTTTGTGTAAAGTAAGGCCCTATGGCCCATTTTACTAGGTTGTTTTTTGGACCACCCTACCCCTACTCATAATCTATTAATATTTCTCCAAACTGGCCACAAGTTATTCGCTGCGGGTGATATTCGTCCACTTCCTGAACTTTTCTATGGTGATCGGGATGGAAATCCCACCAGTCGTTTCTTGATCTTGGTTTCTTTCCAGTATTCTGTATTCGTATGCACTTTAAGAAACTTCACACAATTAAAGGTTAATTATTGTGTTTCTCATGGCTTCTTTAACGTATTTAAATTTTTAAGCAAAATATGAGTAGGTACCTATGTAAAATACAGTGGCGTACCTAACTAGGATTTTTGTGTGGTGGGTGTTAACAGTCAATAATAAATATTATACGATATATTTTACATACAAACTCTAACTTTGATTTTAAATAACACAAATATTTATACATTATGTATGTTACGATCAATAGATAATGTTAATGATAATAATAAATCTATATTCATTCATAGTTTAATTAATGTAATCATTTAATATGGCACGGCTTGAGGGGGGTTCGACCACTTGGATACGACAATGTTAAAAATTAAGATTTAAAAATTTTTATAACTTAAATATTAACATATTATTAGAAAAACTCTCGAATAAACACAAAGTATGTCCTTACCTTTAATTTTGATTATTTGATCAATGAAGTCAATTCACTCTATTATAAAACCTTATTGCACAACATTGGGACTACAGAACATAAATTTGAATATTCGTAAAACGGAGACAACACACGCAGATGTGACCTCTTGAGTATTTATTATTTTATTTTAATTTTTGTCTTATTGGTGTATGCATCTATAATTACTACCTACGTCAAATGAAAATATAATAAGTTCATAATTTAAAACTATCTATAAATATTGTATTACTGAAAATATAGACATTTTCAGTAGACAATTAATTTTTTATTAACATTAATTTACAGAGTAAATGTTTAATTAAAACCTACGTTGTTGAATACAAATCTTAAAAGTGTAAAATTGAAATTTTTATTTCTAGTTACTTCAAGAAAGTATTGGTATCCCCGGTTCAAATTTGAATCTAATATACAGAAGCAGCTGGGCGACGGGGTATTATTCGTATTTAATTATTCATCTCACTCAATCTGATATATCACCACAACTAGAAGTTGTGCACATCTCAGTTGAAATTGAAGGATCAATTTATAATCATAAACTTGAGGCAGATCCTAATTTGAAATACACGTTTACATGGGATAAGCGAAATGTTTACAAACAAAAAGTTAGTTAGCTTTATATTGTTAAATGTTTATTTATTCAGATAATATATACAATATATTTATATTCGTTTTGAAATGTTTTATATTTAATCGACATTATTGTGTAACGCTTTTATAATAGGTCTATGGAATTGCAAATGCAAAAGTTTCAATTGGTTATGAGTATAAGAGCTGTAATCAAATTGTGTGGGAAGTACAAATGGCGGTTTTACAAGGTTTTGATGTGGATATATCAGACATAGGTGGATGGAGTTTAGATGTACATCACCATTATAACTTTCACGAAGGTAAATTAAATTTGTATTAAGTTAAACATAAGAGTAAATGGATAATATAAATGTAAATTAATAGACAATAGTGACAATTTAATATTTATTTTGAATATACATTTTAACTTATTTATAAGAATATATTTAACTATTTAAGAATACAGTTTATATAATTCGGGAAACCTGAAATCAATAAATTGATATAACATCGATGTGTACATTTTTAGGGATTTTACAAAAAGGCGATGGTTCTATATTGTACTTTAAACATCAATATCCTCACACATTACATGTCGTAACTGGTACAGGTATGCAAAGGCCATTGAATTGTAAGGATTGTAATGGACTTGCCAAGGACACAAGACTATTATCACCTTTAGCATTAGCCTGTGGTCCTGATGGAAGCCTTTATGTCGGAGACTTCAATCTTATTAGAAAGTTGACACCAGATGGAAGTGTTTTTACAGTATTACAACTTAGGTGCTTATTTAGAAAATGGAAGTACTTAAAATATTAGGTCCCTTTTACAAAATATGTACAATATTTTTTCAGTGCCACTCAAGTATCATATCAATACTATTTATGCTTGTCTCCTACCGATGGACATTTGTACGTTTCTGATCCTGAAAAGCATCAAATACTTCGTGTGTTAACTACAAATTCAGTAGTAGTTGATCCTACAATAAACTACGAGGTATACGTTGGTTCAGGAGAACGTTGTATACCAGGCGATCAAAGTAGTTGTGGCGATGGTGGGAAAGCAATCAATGCAAAATTGTCGAATCCTAAAGGTTTGGAAATTAATCAATTATAATTATAATTACTTAACCTAATCTAACCTAACCAATAAGTATTATTATTTAATATTTATAATGTATTTGTGTATAGTATACTATATATTTTAATATACTGATTAAAAAATACAAATTAAATTGTTTATTACTTATTAGGTATATCTATAAAAATATTATAAAAAATTTAAATCTTAACCTATGTCTATGGTTAGTAATTATTATTAAAAATATCGTCAATTGATTGGTTTTTGTCCACTTTTTTGGAAAGTAATATTATAATATAGCAATAATGGAATATTATGAATTATGTTATACATTTAAATAGGTAGTCATCAGTCATCTCCGAAAATGACATTGCTTATTTTATTTCATGACTATAAAAATTAAAACGTATCAATGACACTGCAATAGGTAACAATTGACTGCTAAGTGCTAATTGTGTAATAAATCATCTGAAAAGCTTATTTTTTTTTAAATACTATAATAGGTACTCATATTTAATTAAATTCTTATAAAAAATTTGTTTGAATATGAATTAACTTGGATATTAATATAGTCTATAAGTAAATCTTAATTTATACAAGTAGTTAATTGAAAATCACGTACCTAGTTATTGAATATAAACGACACCTACCCAGTGATGTAAATTGTATAGTACAAATTGTATACTATTGTATTATACAAGCGTATCATACGTCATGTATAAAACAATAAAATACAAATGGTATAAAAAAAAATCTGTGATAAATGGTAGATCAATAATAAAGAAAAAATTACTGCAATGGATAATGTTTTAACTGGTAACAGTAATACAACGACGGATCACGGCCACACGTTAAATACCTAACATGGTCATTGGTATTTGGTAGTCACGATCATAGAAAAGAGATTATAAAGATCAACACCAAAGAACTATTCTAGTCATAGATCTATTAACCTAAGTTCTATGATTCTAGTCGTAAACATTTGTAAATCATTTGTAAATAGTAGTCTGATATCTTACTGATAACTGATAAGTCATAATCGTGGACACTAGACCATAGTATAATATTCTACTAAATTCGAATAATTCTATTCTATACAAGTTACAATTAATTTAAGTTATTAAACGTTAGTTTCTTTTTACTATGGGTCGACCTCCAAAGCAAAAAGCTATTGTTGACAAATATTTTACCAAGTATTATGTTGGAAATATTGAAAAACGAAAATGCTTATTTTGTAAATAGGCTTATGCCTATAATGCATTTCGTTTGGCAAATAATTTCTTAATATGTACAAAAACTGATTCAAAAAAGTAAACACTTACTAATTAAATAATTTCATAGGTACCTACTAATTAAAATTACTGCAAATATTAAAACCTAATATTCAAAACTTAGAACCAATACATTTTCATATATTTTCTATTAGGTAGTTATTAATTTATTACCAGACTGCCATTTCATAATTGAACAGTCAAAATGTTTCTTTATTCATTATTCATCAATAAACTGAAATATTATTGATCTTACATTCTTATTATACTCTGGTAGCCATATATTTAACAATTATCTAAACTTCATACGATTTTTGTAAAATACATGTATAATACACGTACAATACAATTGAAAAATAAAATACGGTATTTTTACATCACTACTTTCATACCTACCGTATGAAGCACCATCAATTTAACACAAAAATTAGTACCATCAAAACTGAATAAAAAATGTGATGGTATTATTTTAAAATTAAACAATCTAATAATAACAACGGCCTCCGATTCTCTATTCAGAATTATTTTTCATTCCTCACTCATAGTAGGTTCCTATATTCAATATTTCATTTAATATTTTGTGAATTGTGATTTATTTTAAAACTGCATTTGTTTGTACATTTAAACAGTTAAAAATGTATCTTTACTATTTTAAGTTTGAAGTAATTTTTTTAAAGATTGTAATCTTGAAATCACATTTTTAGGTATTGCAATATCTTCTGATGGGACGATGTACCTAGCTGACGGCACCAATATTAGAGTGGTTAGTCGTAATGGAAATATTCATACACTAATCGGTCATCATAAGCATAATAATATTTGGCAGCCAATGCCTTGTAAAACCACTGTACCGACTTCACAAGTATGTCAAAATTGTAGGATCTCGGTTAAGTTTACTTTATAAATATCTTATTTTACTAGGTACAACTTCAATGGCCTACTAATTTAGCGCTGAATCCCCTGGACGAAAGTTTGCATATCACTGACGATAGAGTAGTTTTAAAAGTGACCAAAGACCATCGTGTTAAAATAGTGGCAGGATCGCCATTGCACTGTTACTCGGGGAATGAAGTAGACCAGGGTGGAAAAGAATCAAAATTGCACGAAAACCAAGAAGTAATGACAGAATCATTGAAGGCCACTCAAACGGCTTTGGGCACCATCCTGGGCATAACGTTCAGTCCATATGGTGATCTATATATAGCCCAAAGTGATTCTCGAAAGGTCAACACTATCAAGGTGGTCAATTCTGCTGGATACATATCACACTTTGCTGGATATCAACAAACCCAAAATCCTCAAAAGTAAATATAAAATCTAAGAACATAGACCAGTACAGAGAATTCTGTTTTTAAAGAAGAAATTTAAATAATAAAAATGTAGATCAATAATTACTTTAGTGGCGCAACTACGGCTAAAATGTTGCCGTTGGCTACGGCTCTAGTCGTTACCAGTTACCTGATATTAAAAGAAAAGTAATGCGTGGTGGTAATGCCCCTATACCACCCATATTCAATAGTAAAAAATAACCAAATATTTATTTGCTCAAGTTTCATTTTTCACAATAATAATATACTGTTTGTGGTAGGAATAAAAATCCCCAGACTACAATATTACTCACGATCACATGAAAATTATTGAACAAATATTTTTAAACGCTAATTAGTGTAATTAGCACATTATTAATATTTTATTACAAATATATACTTATAGTAGTTATAATTATATCAATACAAAATTTAAAAATCATGTAGGTATTAAAAAACCAATCTATGTTCAAAGTTTAAAATAGAATATAGGTACCTATTGAATACAATTTAACTTACTTTTATATTTATATTATAATTTTTAAACATAAACAACAATATTCTCTAAAAATGAAATCCCTGAAATAAAATATTACATTTTCTAATATTATTTGTACGATAATGTAAATATTAATAATCATTATTATTAGGAGTAGTTATAACAAGTTTTACTTATAGATACAATATTTAAAAGATTATAAAATAAAAAATAAACAAGTTTCTAAAAGATAAGGTACTAATATTAAGATCGAAGCACTCCTTCTGGTAGAAATTTTGTATACAGGATAAAAAATAAAAATAAAAAATAAAATAAACATCATTCGCTTCGCTCAGATTCTAAAATACGTAAAATAAACATTATTTACCTGTGTAAATGATGAGCTTAATTATTTTAGGCAAATATTAATTATACCTTTAGCAATGTGGCTTGTTGGTTTGGTTGGAGGACGGGTTCAAATGATGACTCGATTAGACCACTACAAATAGGGTCATGGAGAGAGAACCCCGGGCCTGTGGGTTATATATTGGGCGCCCCACCATTTTTGACTTTACTACTCATTAACTTTGTCAGGTAACTGTTAGGAGTTAATTTTTCCCGCTGTGCTCATAATATTCTTATGATTTATTGTTTCTTTAGTTCAAACAAATTGAATTACTTATAATTACTTATATATATAAAGTATTCTATTTTAATGTAAGTTTTGATTTTATTTTATTTCATATTCTAATTTTATCATATTATATGTACTACATTAATGTATAAATGTATTAATGTACCTTACTTTCTACCACCAACACAATGAGATGGATATTTTATTAGGTATAATCTTAATAATTTTTATACTTAATCTAATTATTACAATAAAAATTAACTATAACTTAGTAACCACTAATAATATGTTTAGTGTATACATCTATACATTTTTACCCAGTAAAGTAATTTGGTTACCACAGTGTTGTAACGGAATCTTATTTGGTAGGCTATAATAGGAAAATTATTCTCTAAATAGTTAAATAGCCGGCTTATTTTGATTTCAATTTTATATAGAGGTTTTACTGAATTCTGTAAAGGAAAAAAAATAAAAAAACTATTTGTGATTTATGTTTACTTAGGCAATGCGATTGTGACAGCTTTAATACTACTTGTCAATGCGGAAATGGATCTCGAGAACATTTATTGTCAATCACTGCAAAATTTACAACGATTTCAGCTATTATAGCATCTCCAGATGGTGTGCTTAACATTGCTGACCAGGTACATTATAATTAATTCTATTTTAAAATTGATTTAAAATTTAATTTATTTAAAATTATTTTAGGGTAATCTTCATATTCTCGCCCTAAAACCATACTTGCCATCGCATGTTATGAATGGAGAGTTTCAAATACCATATCCAGCCACTGGAGAAATTTATATTTTCAATAGATACGGACAACATACAGCTACTCACGATTTAATGACTGGTCAAGTAAGATATACATTCTTGTATTCTAAGAATACTAGTTTTGGAAAGTTGTCAACCGTGACAGATAGTTCAGGGAACAAAATGCTATTTTTGAGGGACTATAGTAATGTGGTAAGTTTATTTGATCAAAATAAATTTGTTTCAACTTCTTCACCAAACGTCCCTAATTTTTTCTTTAAAGGTGAGCGCTATAGAAAATTCACAGGATTATAAATCCGAACTTGTGATATCTGGTGCTGGAAATCTCGTCAAATTTTCAGAAAAAGGGCGATCTGAAATAACATTTAACTACGATAGCAGCACTGGACTTCTTACAAGTCGTTCTGATTCTACTGCGGAAGTACGTTCAGTAATAATTAAGATGTTAAACTTATTGGTGCATATAACTAGTTAACCAAATAAAATCATAATTAAAAATATATATATTATCATTATATAAACACAAATAGTATGCAGTTATTTTTTTAACTGTATTATCAATAAACGGTTAATTATCAAAAAAATATTTTGAACGTTGACTTTGGAAATACATTTTAAAAACGATAATAGCTAGTAATATAATAATACATGCATGATATATCTGTTATATTATTTTTCTTTCAGCAGGGCGGATCGCTATTCATTTATAATTACGATAAATTAGGCCGTTTAGTTGATGTTGTGCTTCCAACGGGTGAAGTTTTTGAACTTTCTTCTCATATATCAATGGAAGATGATGGTTTTGAAGTTAACGTACTTACACCATTGCATAATCCTATCAGTATGATATCATTAGATGGTCGTAGAGATCACATAACCATTAAAATGGAAGGGAATGATTACAAAAAGCTTATAGTGAAAAATAGTAAGTCCAAATTTTATTTTTTAATTTTAAGTATCTATTACCTCATAATAGGTATAATAATAGTATACATGGTAATGTGTTCTTATTTTTATTAGGCGCTTCTGCAATTAGTGAGGCTATTAGTTTCAAAAACGGTTCATTTATGTTCCGCTCCAGATCTGGCGAAGTAGTGCAATGTTTTGCGGAATCTAAACACCCTATATTAGAACTGTCTTTGCCAGTGGAAGCGGAAATGTTACCAGTTTTTAATCGACAAGTTTCATCTAGAGGTACCTTGTCAAACGTTGTTTTGTGGACGTATTCTCTCGTTGGAGATGCGGGCTCTACCAAATTCATTATAAGAAGAAAATTGACAGTAAATATTTTATATTAAACTAGGAATACAGTTAATTATTTACACGCATTTTTGTTTAGATTAATAATAGTTCCGTCCTCATAATTGATTATAACCAGTACACAAGAATTGAGACTGTTTATAGTAGTGATAAGCCATCGACTTCCTTACTCAGCATTGCATACAGCCTGAACGGCCTGCCCTTATCCTGGACAATTGGTCACTCCAAACATAGTGTCAATATAACATATGACAGGTGATTAATAAAATAATATTTCTTTTAAATTGAGCGTAAACATAAAAATGCGGTCATAGATTCAATCGCCTGGAATCTTGGAGTTGGGGTGCAATAAACGAGCAATACAAGTACACTCATCATGGTTTGTGTGTAGAAAAGCTACTGAGCCATAGAGGTCCTGTAAAATATCTTTATAACAATTGGAATAAGGCAAGTACTGTTACAGTTAATACATGTTACTTAATTTCGTTTGCTTAGAAATTAAAATTGACTTATAATAAAATCATATAGTCACTATGATTACAAATAATAAATTTAACAATTTTACTCTCCACAGATATCTGAAATTGAACTTTCTACTCATCGAAAGTTTGGGTATTTATATGACGAATCTGGTGGCTTGAAAAATATTGTTTTACCATCTGGAACTAAACATTCATTTTCATCTCAAACGTCATTGGGATTCATACGTTACACATATACTCCTCCTGGGTCAACGAGAGCATACTTACAACATTATAGTTATACTGGAGCGCTTCTCCAAACCGTGTATCCTGGAGATGGTGCCCGAGTTCTATATAGATATCGTAGTTCCGGTCAATTATCCCAGGTAAATTTATGCACTGAACCGCATCACGCGTATAATTATTTTGAACTGTATTTGATTAATGATTATAATATTATAATACGTAGGTAGTACATGGTGATGGTATTACAAAAGTTAAATACTATCCAAACACTCAGCTGCCAAGTCAAGTATTAAATATTGAAATGGATTTCGAATATCGATGGGATTATCAGTATAACGATGGGTTGTTAATTGAAGAGAGAATTGACTATGGGCCTAAGACTGGTCTTAGCAACGCCAAAATCACATACGAGTACGATAGTAATTTCAGAGTGATTTTGATTGAAGGTCGCATTGGGGGGCAGAGCTTACCAGAAAATCGCATTGAATACAACCCGATCACTGGCAGCAAACAGCTTTTGGGTCAATTTGAGGTAAGTTATTTTCCCAAAAATCTATGGAAACGTTAAGCTAATATGTAATTTATTCACAGCGAAGTACAAATGGAAACATAACAAGACTTACCGACGGAACTGGTATATTTAATCGAGTAACAAATGACTATTTCCAAGTGACACATATGTCCGTCACGATACACCAGATGGAAGTTTTCCGCATGGAGTTTATGTATAATCTGGATAGTCGGATTGAACAGTCACGTACTTACACGCATAACGTAGGTGTTAACACTTATACAATCGTTAAGAACTACACTTTTGATGCCGATGGACAACTGATGTCGGTGGAAGCACAAGAGCCTTGGAGCTTTAAATATGATCAAAATGGAAATATGCTTGCCATGACGTACAGGTGCATATTATAATAATATATTTCACAATTATATATTATACCTATGTGTTTATGTTTATATAATTACGTACATATTTTATATAAGTATAATGGTATATGTGATTACACAAATAATTGTGCACCCATATACATACAATGTCGTAGTCAGGATTTTATTCGTGGGTTAGGGCTATAATATTTCCTAGGACTAGGGAACTACTGGATTTTTACAATTACTGTTCATCTTATCATATTTAAGAATATTGAATTCAAAAACTCTCATAATATTTTCTTCGCTTCGCCACCAGTGAAATTATATCATGACATTTTTGAAGTAAAACTTCTTTCTTGAGGTGTGGGTGGAAAAAAATTCGTAACCAAAAATGAAACGACACATTTACTTATTTATTTATTTTGCAAGTCATGCACGGCGGCGGCGGCGTGCACGTTTATTTTCTTTGTGTTGATTTTTCTCACTCTCTCCCTCATTCACTTATAATTTCTCGGGGCCCCAACTTATGAAAGAAGTTTTACTTTCCCAGATTGTAATGGTAATTAATAAAAAGGATATTTCAATACCTAAAACTTTAACCCCCTTTTACTCCAGAACGTACATTTTCGGATCTTAAAAGACTGAAAACATGTTTAAGAGCTACAATGAATGAAGAAAGGTTGAATGCTTTGGCCCTAGCTATCTATATCTATATATATATATATACTAGCTGATCCCGTGCACTTCGTCGCCCTTTAAATGTACCAACTCAATATGACTCAAACTTTGTTCAATTCGTTATTCAATATTCGGTGTATGGTGTTCAAAATTTATATTATCTTTTCCGTTGCCCGAAATAAAAATTCTGAATCGCAGCAGTACATTATCAGGTAGGCAATCTACCTGCGGTAGATCGCGGACCCCGTGCTGTTTGTACGGAAGTGTATGATTTAACTCTAAAGTATCAAAGTTATACCAAGTTTATTTTGAAATAATACGGTGGATTAATATAAAAAATTTGGTTGCTCGTAAAAAATCACAACTCTTAAAAAAATTATGATTGTTGAACTCCTTTTGGGTGTAACTTGCTGCGGTAAGTGAAACTTAGCCACCCTGGTAGGCAATGTTCAATAATTTGATTTGATGCAAGTTTGTACCTGATCTGCCCAAATAACCAATGGAAACCAATAAATAAATGCTAATTTCTAATGTAGACTGTAACCAATGGCAACTATTAATAAATAAAAATAAAATTTCCAATTTCCATCTTGAATCTCAATGTCCCTGTTTGAGCACCTATTTAAAATGCGAATTTCGAAAAATCCTTTCTTAGCGCACGTCTACATCATAATAGCTATCTGTATGCCAAATTTCAGCCAGATCCGTCCAATGGTTTGAGCTGTGCGTTGATAGCAGTCAATCAGCTTACTGTTTTATATATACAGAAGATATATGCAACTATATAAAATGAAGCCTCTTTTTTTTGTTCGGGATAAACTCCGAAACTACTTAACAGATCTTCTTGATTTTTTTTTAACGATAGAGTATTTCACGGGGAAGGTTTACATGAAAGAAAATTGTAGGAAAATCTACCGGAAAAGTAGTAATAATAATAATTGAAAAAATACTACAGTGGCGCCATCTGTCCAGAAAAAATTAACTAAATAATAAAATAAAAATTCAGTTTATTGTTGCAGATTAAAATAACAATAGTGTATATTAGTTGCTATTGGTTAATCGGACATGTTTGTTGATTTGTATTATTATCTTTTGTCAATATATATATAAATGAATGTTTGTGGGTTAGACCTCTGGGATGAAGATAAGCTAATAAGTAATAATAAGTATACGAATTATCTCAATTATTTTTTATAATGAAAACAGTACAAATTGAATTTGTATAAGATTTTATTGTTGCCCCCTTTTAGAAATCCTGGCTACGCCACTGCTTACTATGAACAAATTAAATATTTGTTTAATTTATATTTAGGGGTAATATGATTCCTATGGAACACAGTGTTATGGATAGAATAGAAAAATTCGGAGAAGGACTTTATAGGTATAATAACCGTGGACTTGTTGTGCAAAATGCTAGAGAAGAAAAATTTCAATATAATTCTAAAGGACTTCTGGTAATATACAGAATACGTTTAGAAGAAGTAAAAACATAATAATTATTTCATAAAAATTAGGTGAGGGCAATAAAAAGAGGCCGTTTTGATGTACGATACTTCTACGATCATCTCAATAGACTTAGTACCCGAAAAGATAATTTTGGAAATGTTACCCAGTTCTTTTATACTAATCATAATAATCCAAACGAAGTAAGTAAATTGTATTACAGCAATTACAGTATTATGTATTTACCATCACGTGTTATCCGTAAAACAGGTCAGTAATATATTTAGTCCGAGAGATGGAAAGTTGATGTCGCTGACGTATGACGATAGAGGATTTTTAATTTACGCTCAAGTGCATAGATATAAGTATTATGTAGCTACTGACCATTGTGGAACGCCTGTCATGATTTTCAATCAATACGGAGAAGGCATTAGAGAAATTATGAGATCTCCATATGGGCACATAGTTTATGATTCGAATCCGTATTTATATTTGCCAATTGATTTTTGTGGTGGACTCTTAGATCAGGTAAATCATGATAACTGAAACGTTAGTTAATAATTGTCTATCGTTACATTAGTGCTTCATTCAAGTAGTTTATTTAAGTGTTTATAGTTTTTAATAAGTCGGAAACCCATCCACTTAAAGAGACACAATTTTTTTAATAGTTTTTATTCAAATACAAAATAAAACTAGATTTGATCTTATTTCAATCTACTGTGAACTAAAAGTGATACTTCTAGAAATCACATCACAAAAAAAAAATTTTTTAATAAAACTTTTTTATTTATACTTAATTTATTTCTGCTCTTTTAATTTTTCTTATGAACCTATTTAGTTGTTGTTAAAATCGAACATGATTAAAAGCAATACAGAATAGTATACTGTATTTATTTAAAGTTGAACCCAAATGTATACTTTCCTAAATTTAATTTGTACTAATTAATTATATACTTACTACGAATAATGATACATCATTCAAAAATTATATATTGAATATATCGGATGTACAATAGTATTTTGTTTTTATCAAAAAACAGGTTACATCATTGGTTCATATGCCCAATGGAAAAGTTTATGATCCTCTAGTTGGACAATGGATGTCACCTCAATGGGAAGGCATGCTAGCTCGTGCAACAGAGCCCCAACAATTACATTTATACAGGTTCAATGGCAATGATCCAATAAATGTAATGCCTACTCGACAATATCTTAAAGGTATGTTGTTGAACAAATTTATTTCATATATTAAATATTTATTATGTATTGTTTGGGATATTTTACAGTTATAGAACATAACCACAAACTTAGCATAATATCAAATTGTTTTTATGTATCTCCAAATTTAGTTACTATCAATTCAATAAAACATTTTATAAAAACTCTATCCCGTTCAACGTTGTCCTAGATGGTTCTTTCAGTTTTACCAGGTCTTACCAGGTTCAGATAACTCTTAGTTATTTTATATCTATTCCACCAACTCATCCTTTAAAGTTTAAATCTTACTATTCCAAACTTCACTCTATCAAACCATGTTAATTTTTCTATCGACAACGTTAGTCGCACTCATTCAACACTTCAAAATACTAACTGTACGTCGGTGGGCCCTGATGACTACAGGTTAAAATTAAGGGATGTCATCGACTGATTGATATATGGCATCTGCATCTGATTGATTACATTAAATTATATCTACACATAACCTCTATCACTGACTATCTTCATCTACAAAATTACTTTAACTGACTGGTTACATAGACTGAGTTCTTTGTACTTAATATTAACATCCCCAATTATGGTGTATTAATCTTTTCCAACTCAATTAATAATACCAAATAAATAGCATACTTGTCAAACCACTGAGAAACACCTACGTGACCTAGGCTTTACGCTCATTCCCACCCTCTCATATACCAAATACAACGAAAATATATGTTTTCAAGCTTCCAAACTCCTAATCTTAATTCTCCGTAACTCTCACAATGTTCTGTCAACACCACCTCTCAAGTCGCTCTACTAAACTTGAGTACGGGTAGGTCCTCTGGATCTTACGCTATTGCATATACAAGATCCATGATTGAAAGAATTCAGATACGCTTCCTTCGACTGCTCGCTCTTCGACTCAATATCTCTCAATCCCAACACGACTATTCAACAGTCAAAAACCTTTTGCAACTCCCCAGTCTTGCTGATCACAGACATGCGTATAATCTCTTTCCTTTCAAATATCATTATATGTAAAATCGATTCCCTTAGTTTTCGATCTTAAATTTGCTTGAAAGTCCCCCACCCATCCACTCTCGTACATCGGACCCATCCAAAATCACTTCTTCCCGAATAATTACCTATCTTTCGCCATCTCTTTCATGGGATATAATTTTATCTCAATAGCCAGTTAGATTATAGTCATTAGTTTAATTTTAGTCAAATTGTTTATGTTAATTAAATCTTAATACCTGTTACTACGTTTGTGCTCGTTCTATATATATATAAATATAAATATATTAATGAATAAAAAATATTTTTAAATTATCCTAAAAATAAAACTTTTTTTATAGATGAAAAATACTGGTTGTCATTGGTCGGTTACGACTTGCAGCTACTCATGCCTCAGATGCCGCAGTCCATATCTACATTCCCGTCATTATTACCATCGATGTCAGCAAGTCTTGGCAATATACCATTAGACATAACGTCCGTTTATTTCAATCATTTGACCAAACTGTTAAACAAACGAAAACTCACGTCTCTTCCGGAATCAAAAACCCACGCTGACCCTATCATCAATTCATTCAAAGAGAAGCCAAAATACTATGACCCGATGTGGATGACGTTCTACATGAACGATTTAGAAGATAATGCAGATAGAGGTCCCAAAGCACACGGCATCCAACCAGGAGCATCTCTATCACCGCTTTTTGGTAATGGTATTCACATATCGAGATCATCGGACGGTCGAGTGATTGTTCAAAGCGTTCCAAATGCAAATCCAATTTATAAGGATGTGTTCACGTCAGTTTTCAACGACACGTTCTTGTTACCATTCAGCTTAGTGATGCACGGTGCCCAACAAGACGCTTATTACTTTGTTAAAAAAGACATTTGGAATGCCAACGAAGATAAGGCACAATTGAAGAGGTTTGGTTCGCAGATGAATACCACTTTCCACGAAAAAGAGTCAGATAACAATTCTGGAAAGGTAAAGACATTAATTTAATGGTGCTTAGTTTGGATACAAAACGATTGTACACGGCTGTATCATTTTTATACTTAACACAGCTCCGTGCGTTATTTTAATTTAACGTTGCCATGCTCCCTTGCTGGGAAATTCTATATAATAATATATATAGATTATAGAGAATAGAAGATAGTATTGTTTAACCAAGACCAGTCCAGTTCACTGATATTTTCAATTTGTTAATTTAAGTTTAAAGTTACTTTTCTTTCTTTTTAATTTGTAAAAGTTAAAAATTAATAAAATTAGAAAAAAAAGTAACTTAAGAGGATGCCACACCATCATATGTTATTTCAGTCTTACAAACGTATAACATAGTCAATTATACGTTAACAATAATTAACTTTACTCTGCTATTTTAAAACTAGAGTGTATTGATCCATGATAATATCTAATGCATCTCTAGGCTTTTCATTATATTTTAATTTCAAGTTGATTTTTAAGTATTTTAATTTGTACAAATAATTTACAATTTTAAAATACTCATAAATTGCTTTGAAATTAAAATATAATAAAAAGCCTAGAGATGGATTAGATAATAATCTTACCTTTAATTTGTATAATAGGTTTTATCACTATAATTTTAGAAATGTCATAGTAAAATATATTATTGTGAACTTAAAATTAACCATGCTGTAAGTTTGTAATACAGATACAACGCATGAGGGTGTGGCATCCTCTTAACTTTGTTAATAATCAGTTAAATTTGTTTTAAAACTGAATATTTAAATTCATGCTAAAGCACAATAAATTATCTAACAAGTTCACAAAAATATTAAAAAGTATAGTTAATATTCAATGGTAAAAATATTACACATATGACTACCGAAAAAGTAACAAAAAAGGGAAGCCCTCTAATGATAGACCATATACTAACAGAAATAAATAATTATTTAGGTTAATTCTTTAAGGATTCATGGGATATCATGGGGCAAATTTATATTCGGTGTTAAGATATTAGAACTTTAAAAAAAATAACTTGTTATGTAACTTAGTTTAAAGTACTTTAACTTTTTAATTGGTGAATGCTCGGCTTTGAATGTAATAAAAGTTCACTCTACTTATCATTGGCCTTAGGGAGATTTTATTTGTTGACCATTAAGTTTCATATGACCCCCATTTGTCGCGTAGATTTTATAACATATATTAATATACCTAGTAAAAAATATAAAATATGGAGAATTTAGGTAATCAAAATAGTTACATCGAAACGGGTCAAAGATTTGGCATTAGTAGATTTAAGTAAACACCGTATAACGAACGTAAACGAACTATGATTGGACAATTTGAATAGTTGTGCTGCTATGGACACAAAATATAAAAGTTGCTACGCAACTCAATATTAATGAGCAGTGATCATTGAAAATATTTCAAATTTTATGAGAGCATACACACAAATAGATACGATGTTGTTGCCAATTAATTTAGAGAAATGTTTGTTGGTACTTACCTGGAATTTTAATGCCATTTTCAGTCGATAAGTTTTTTTTTTGTTTTCTCAATATGTGTAAACTTCACGTCAATACCTACCTACTCATAATAATAATAATAAATTATTATTCTAATCTACTGTTTAGTTTCTCATACCCATATAGCTCACTATTAGAGTAGGTATTTAATTAAATTAATTTGCTTTACTCTAATCATAAATTGTATGTAATTTAATAAAAATGGAAGCTATTGGTTTTATAAAGTTTAATGTTCCGTTAGCTAATTAGTTAGTTACCTAGCTCTGTCGTCAACCTGACAAAATTACATTAGCGTGTACATATTTAAACTTTCAAAATAACAGGAGGCATCGTTTAGTTGTTTTATATTATGGTGAGTCACTAGTAATATCAGTAAATATACCATGTAGACATAACTTAAATTCAAAAAAAATAATAATAACTTGGTTAAAATATTTTGTATGAATACATCATATTTTCATCTAAACGTAAAATTGTAATTGACAATTGGATCGATTTTGTTGACGAATCAAATGTTAAATAATCAGTACACGACGACGTTCGGTGAAATACTAGTTTATTATTGGGTTTTTCATTAACCGATTGATCACAGATATAATTAAACAATAGGAATCCAAAATATAACACGATTGAGCATAGAAATACTTACAACGTTGCCGTCCCACACAGCAAAATAATAATTAAAAAAAAAAAAAAAAATGAAATATTTACAGGAATTATTTTATAATAATCATCAAAGTATAAAATTAAATTATTTTTACAAATATATATAATTTATGTCCAATACATATTAATCTAAAAGTTAATTTATAGATGTAATTTTGAATATGTTTTTTTTAAAGTGGTATCCTTAAATACTTACCTCCTACTTTTAATAAATATTTTAGTAAACCTTTAGAATGTTTATTTCTTAAATATTCATCGTAATCCATTATTGTTGCATTCATTTTTTAAATTTAAATAAAACTCATATTTGTATGACAGTTAGTTTCAATTGACCGTATTTTCGTCATAATTTCAGCTTGAGTTTTTTGTAAAACCATAATTACCAAGTGTATGTGTGGCCTTGTGGGTGTGAATTTCTGTGAAGTTCTGCGAAAACTTTCAACCACGTTTGTTGTTCTAAAAATGCATTTCATAGAAATTAAATTAAAATTTTTTTTATATTTAACAATTAGATTTTGGAAGATCTACCTTTTATCAAACATAGGTTTCTTAGCTCATATATTTGGGGAAATGGAGATTAACATCTATATAATTATTAAAAATATATCGTTAAATTCTGAGCAGACTCTATCATGTAGACAGACACGAGTTCGAAGAATACATCGGCTACTTCGTGAAATGGAAGAAAAGCTAACCCAAAAAACTCTTTATCCAATTTCCTAGTTTTCTTTTTTATAGGCTATTCTGAGAATAGAGTAGCTGTTTATCTATAATAATTAAGAATACAATTAATGTATGATTATTTGATTTTAAATTATTTTGTTACCTTTTGTTAAAAATTACAGACCGTGCTCAATCTGGTTGTTCTAAAATAGGGACCATGCTCATTGCTCAATCGGGTTTCACCGTTTTTATTTTAGAGTGGCACTTGGTGAAGGCCAATCACTCAACCCCAGTGTCAAATCCCAGTCTCAGCCCCAAATCGTTCATGATATTTGTAACATTCAACATTAGTATTTTAAAAACCCATCAGACCTAGTTGGCCATCATAAACCACATTAAGCTATATACATCACCACAATACAATAATATTTGATATTGTGTTTACTAATAATAAGACAAACACATCTGTTCATATATAATATTAACATCGGTACACAATTACACTTGTTTATTACACTTTTGATAGTAAAATAACTTAGAGAGTTACCCATTAAGCCCCACAATTTTCTGAAGTTTTTGTCGTAAATATAGCAGTATAGCCATTTTATTTGTTTTTCGTTTTCAGATGGTGGACGTACGGATACATTGTGCGGACACGGTAATAAATTTGCGGTACGGTACAACGTTGGAACACGAAAAACAGCGACTGTTGCATCACGCCAAGACGTCTGTGATGCGAAAGGCTTGGCACAGGGAACGGGATCTGTTAAGATTGGGTTTACCCACGAACAAGGACTGGTCGGTCGCCGAGATCGATGAGATATTAAAATTAGGCTACGCTAATGGTTTTGACGGCGAGTACATCCGAGACACCGAGAGGTACCCTGAGCTGTGCGACGATCCGTACAACATTAGATTCGTTAAGACAAACTAATGTCCGTGACATCAACGGCGCTTTCGCAGCTATTGTCGGACTCTGTAAAATGAATTCTCATATGTATATTAATATGTTCTTTAAGATAAAAAAACAATCATTGAATTTACCAATACTGTTAGTGTTGTCAGAGACGTTTTTATGTTTTTGGCGCCCTGGGGCACTGTTCCTTAAAGGCGCCCTCTTTTAATAATAACAGTTAACTCTGATATGGGGTGATTATTAAAAACAAAAACATTTTCAATACAAATATAATATATATTACGGTAAATTAATTAATAAACATTTAGAAAAAAATATTATAGTTTTCTTCGTGAACTTTGTTTTGCAAATGTACTTATAATGTCATTAAAGCTCATATTCATGGTAAGTGTAGATTCAATCGACAAGATTGCTAACCTATTAAGACGATCATCAGTCATTCTCGACCTCAAATAAGATTTAACCCTCTTTAATGCTGAAAATGATCTCTCGGCTGAACAATTGGATGTTGGACAGCATAAATACATCCTTAATGCTATATCTACGTAAGGAAACAGTTCTTGAAGTTTTTCAGTTCTGATCAGTTTACAAATATCCATTACAGTTTTAGGTCTTATGTTTTCAGTTAAGCTCATTAAATAGCTTCTAAATTGTATACACTCGTTAGCAAATGAAGACGAAAGATCATTTGTATATATATTTTGAAGTATTTCTGCTTTTTTATAAACTTCTGATGGTGATAATTTTATTATTTGAAATAGAAAGTTAAATTTTTTATTGGCTTCATCATAGTAGAACTTTCTTTTTTCTAGTTCAGAATGTAGATTGTCAATAATAGCGTAATAAGTATTAATCCTTAAAGAGTCTCGAATTTCAAAATTTATTTCTCCTTCTCTTTTTTCATCTGCAGTTAATTTTCTTTTTCTTTTGCGTATTTTTTGATATGTTTTGTGTCCGGATTTATTAATTGCTCTCTCTTCATAGATATCAAACATACTCCTTAAATCTAATACATATTGAATTAACGATTCGTATAAACATACCACTGTTTCTAAATCAATCTCAACTGACTGCAACTGTTTACTAGTTTTGTTGAATCTTTCTAGTATATCACCCCATAATGTGGCCATAATAGCTGTTTCAAGACAGTCTAATTTTAAATATAGTCCATTAGCTTCTGATTTTGTGATTGGTTTTTCTGATTTATCATTTTTTATAAAAGACAGTGCATTAATTATTTCATTCCAATTTTTGTTTAAACTAATACTTGCATCAGATCTTGCTGACCACCTGGTATCTGATAGTTTTTTAAGTGATACATTTTCTGTTTTAGTTAAATTGTTCTGAAGTATTTCCCATCTATGTGTAGAAGAACTGAAAAATTTATAGATATTTTGAAGCAGATTAAAAAATTCAGAAGCATTTCTACAACAGTCTACAGCGCATTCACCAACAAGATTTCAAGTCACTACTACCAACTTGAGTATTACACATGGCAGGCTATCAGTAATCAATTTTGTGTAGTTGGTACGATGAAGTAGGTCTATGATTTTGACATGATAATAATATAAACATTTTCATGACAATGATATAAAATAACTTAAATAACTATTTTACGATTTTCTAAGATTCTACCATTCTGACGCCTGGTGGCTGGCGCCTTCTCAAAATTTGGCGCCCGGGGCCCAAGCCCCCCGATGCCCCCCCCTAAATACGTCCCTGAGTGTTGTCCTTGATTTTAATCATGGACGAACAGTAGCGTGGGTCGTTCGGCACGATAACACTGTCGCACAATCCAACCGAAGCTGGGATATTGTTGGAAACTAGGTACTATACGTAAGAAACCTATATGTTATTAAAATTACAAAATATCTCAAGACTATCTCGAGTCGTCAACATCAGATTACTCACATCTTATCCAGTCAACGAGTCGACCCGCAGTATTTGTCTAATTTTAATGTTATATGTGGTTGATTATTATTGTTTGTATTATTGCCATTCTTTTTAGGTTAACATATTGTTATTATTTTATTATTTCCCTTATAAATGTTATGTGTAAACGTAAACACCTGTATATACTGAAGGCCATACATAGGTAGGAATCACTCGGGTCTGAACACAGAAATATATTAAAACAGATTTTTTCATTTTATTACCACTTAGGAATCTATAAGAATTTATGATAAAAATAGTATGTTTATGTTATCGACTAATTTTAGATTATTTATGATCCTAAGTCCGGCCTTGTGTTTACTGTTTAATGTATTTACTTTATTTGATGTTTTCGTTGATTCTTCCTATCGTGATTTTGAAAAAAAAAACATTTTTAAAACACTGTATTTTGCTATTTATTTAAAGTGTTAAGATTATTATTGTGTATCTATGTGTATTGTTTATTCTATAAACCTTGAGTTCGTAACGTCCTTATGGTATATTATGTATTTTATATGAATTGAGTAATTTATTTCTACTGGCTCACGGTAGAAACCTATTGTTTGGTAATTATTCCGATGTTCTTTTATTACAAAGTACATTCGTTTGTACTTAATTTTGCCAAAAACGTCATTTAATCAATTTATTTTTATATTTAAATAATATTCGATTTTGTATGATCAACCCTTATATTTTCAAGCTTTGGTGACATTTTTTTTTTTAAATGTCCCATGTGTTGAATTTTATGTACAGTATATATAACCTAAATTACGGCCAGTGCATTATAGGTGCCGGATATCAGTATTAATTACCAAAATTATCATTATCGATGATTTAATATTAACTTACTTGATGTGTCCAGATATTTATAAAATTGTAAAAATACTTATTATCAATATAAATATTTAACAAATAAATTTCCTGCATTTACATGTATTTTATTTACATACACAATTGTATTAATTTATTTGAGATCAATGAAAAAACAGATACGAGGTGACATCAAACAATAATGGACTAAATAAAACAAGTACCTATAGGTAATGGTATTTAAAATATTTTTGACGGTTTAAAGCTACGAAACAGAAACTGTATTTAGTCTAACGTTGCTATTTTAACAACATGAAACAATGAACATTTAAGGGGGTCGACAGCTCTTTTACTAAGGAGATAGACAATTTGTTTAACACGTGAAGTCAGTCATATAGAGAAGTAAATAAACATTCGTGTGAGTGTCTAGCACACCATTGCAGCACTATGAAACGATATTCGTTACCTAGAAAACGGGTTTTAAGCGGCCCATACACGATACAATTAATCACACGACAGATTGTACAACAGTTGTATGTACTAGTTGTATAAATTTGCAGTACGCGATATCCGACACACATTAATACGACTTATCGTACTACAAGTTGTTCAACTCATCATATATATTGGTAGGAGTGTCATAATACTCATAATCATAACTAAAAATAAATATAAAAACACGTGTATAACATTATATTTAATAAATTAAACAATTTAATAGTGTAGGTATTCAATATTTATTTTCAATTTATTTGATATGGCTCCCATGTTGAAAAAAACCAAAGCTAGTATTGTGGTTGCGTTGTTGTTGAATAGTGACGAAAAGAAGACAAAACGTAAAAGGAAATGGTGTAAAAATTGGTTACTAGAAAGAAATAGATATTCGCATGTTAATTTACTTCACGAATTGAGTACTTACGAACCTAGAGACTTTCAAAATTTTTTTAAGAATGGATGAAAGACCTTTTCAATCTTTGTTAGAAATGATACGACCAAAGATTACTAAGCAAGATACAAATATGAGGCTTTCAGTAACAGCTGAAGAAAGACTAATTGTGACTTTAAAGTAATTTATTTAGTATAAAATTATAAAGTTTTAATTTTGCTTCCTAAATCACTTTATTTAACACTGTTTAAAGGTAGGTACTTAGCAACAGGCAATTCTTATGAAGATCTAAAATTTACAAGTGCTATATCACCTCAGATAATTGGTAAAATTGTCCCAGAAACATGCATGGCAATTTACGAAGCATTAAAAAATGATTATTTGAAGGTAAGTAAATATGCTTTATAATTGTGCCATATGTAGGGGGGGTGTGACAAATTGAGCTAACTACAATAAAATAGTTACCTACATAAATATTTTTAGTTTTTACTATAGACTCTGAGAAGAACAAGGGATGTATTGGCTTTAAGATGATTTTACATATTTTGTTTGTTTAATTAAAATGACTTTAACACATTTAACATTTTAAACAAAGAGTATATTAACAAAACAAAACAAAATAAAATTAACAACTTTAAATATCAACCATCAGTAGGATTGATCAATAACAACTAAAAAATTCATACTTTGAACAAAGAGTAGGTATATTAATTAAACAAAATAAAATTAACAACTTTTAATATCAACCATCAGTAGGATTGATCAATAACAACTAAAAAATTCATACTTTGAACAAAGAGTAGGTGTATTAACAAAACAAAATAAAATTCATACTGTGTTTAAATAAAAACAAACTAGTTTTTAGAAAAAATATATTTCTATGCATTGACTTTGAAAAAGAAACTATATATTATTATGCTTAACTGTCTGATGTAGTTGTATTTCTTAAACATGCTTCATAATGAGAAATTCTTCAAGTTCACTATGTGATTTTTTTGGATTGAAACTTGGTACTTCTAATTTATCTTGGTTGTTTGAGCTGTTGACTAGATTTTGTGAGTAAAAATTATAAGGTTCATTTGTAGTAGTAATCCTGTAGGTACTCATTTTGTTTTGACATCGTTTGTAAGTTAGTGAACTGTGGTTGTGTAGTATTAGGATGATATCCACTGGAAGTGTACTGATAATTGTGTTTAGCAGTTAGAGGGTTTGAACAATTTACTAAAGCATCTTCCTTTAATTGACCCATTCTACCGTAATACATAATGTCAGATACCAATTTTTCAGCAATCAGTCTTTGATGTTCATTCATCCCTTTTAACCGGAATGCTATTCTTTTCCCTACTACTGCATACTCATCCTCTTCGGGTTCTGGAGTGGTAAGCTGCGAGTGAGCTAAGTCAAGCAATTCATTTTTTTTAGCTTCCATAGAACTTAATTTTGGACCACCATATGGACTTTGAGATATTTGTTTTCTTTTTTTATGTCTAGCAACATAAGCTGATGTTGAACTACTAGAATTGTTACTTTCATATTGTACTCCTGATGCTTCGGATAAACTACTTGTAGGAGTATGTGGTGGAAGAAATGAAGTCTCAGATAGTGTTTCATGCCCATAGTCACTTTCATGATTCTGAAATTAATTGTAGAGATTCAATTGCTTTTTAAATGTATACATAGTTTTTATAATAATAATAATAATAATTTATTCAAACGTATAAAATGGGCAATTGCTCAATAGTACAGGATTATAATATTATGTTAAACATTAAACAAATATATGATAATGAACATAACAATTAATCAGAATAAACCTAATAAAATTTAATATATCAAATATTACATAGTATTTTTATGATATATTATATGAAAGCTATATATGGAGAAAAGAAGAAATCGACATCTGCAGTAAGTTTGTTACACAGGCACATGGCTCTTGGAATTGGAGAATATTTTAAATAGTTTGTGCTGTGAGATGATAAATAAAAAATGGAGGTGGAACGGTTATTATAATCTGGAATGTTGAACGAGACGCATTTTAATAGATTAGGAGCATCAACTTTGTTATTGATTAGGATGATGTGTCTACTAACTAAAGGAGTATTTGGGCATCTATGTTATCTTTTTTTTAATAAATATAAACATATTTTTTATGTGGCAAGTATTGATTTATTGTTTTGGAGGTGCCTTCTACAGAACAAGAGTGGAAACATGTGGCAGATGGCTTCAACCAACTTTGGCAATTCAGAAATTGTTTAGGTGCAATTGATTGCAAACATATTATCATAAAAAAACCTCAGAAAAGTGGATCTTACTACTATAATTACAATGGGACATTTAGTGTGGTATTACTTGCTGTGGTAAATGCTAATTATGAATTTATATACATTCATATGGGCACAAATGGGCGCGTATCAGATGGAGGTATATGGAAGGAAACCGGACTTTGCAAACGTTTGGAATCAAATAAATTGAATATACCACATTTATACCATTGAGCAGTGAAGTACAGTAAATCATAATACCATATAGAAGGCTCATAAACATTTTCTGTACTTGATCCAGTACACATGGAACTCTCTACCTAAAAAATGTTTTAAATATATTTTTAGGATGTCTAATAATAATTTTTGCAAAGGTAATATACATTAAACAAGTTTATCAATTTCCATAAGTTTGGCCACACATAAAAAAGAATTAATAATTAAATTTAGTAATTTCCTTATATGCAATACATAAAAAAATAGCTTAAAATATGAGTATTGTAAGGAGCTAAAATATAAAACAATATCAAATAAAGAAGAAATTATTTATCAATTCAGTAATTCTGAAGGATAAATTTATTAAAATAATTATTTTAATTTAAATTAAAACCAAGTTTAGTGCCTATATCAAAAGATTATTATAATAAATATTTGTATTTTAAATTAAAACTAATTGTTGCATACATTTTAAACAGTAATTTAATACTTATATTAATATAAATATATAATAAATATTCGTACTAAATAAAATAAATACTTACTTTTTTTAATTCCCTCCTAAATGTTGTACGAATATTATTAATCTTTTTTTTTAGAAGTTCTGTTGTAGCTTCAGGATATATTTCTTTAAGTTTTTTCAATAGTATTTCGTAGCTTGAATTTCGTTTAATTTTATTAGAGTAATCTTTACATTTCACATTCCAGAGGCATGAATGATTTCGATATAATTCAATTAAATCTTCCCAAAAATCTTTATTAACATCCATTACAATGTTTTTATATGAATAACTTAACAATAAATAAAAACAATGACAACTGATGACAAGTACAATATTATTGAAGTTAATACAAAAAACAATATTTTGAAATATCAAATAACAACGAATTCAGTTTTAAAATCTTATCAGCTTGGTGATAAAAAAGAACATAATATGATAGTTAAATCGATCAAACTTTTATACGCAGGTCCACACATGTTACGATTTGTCGCATTTCAGAATTTGATCAACTTGAAAATTTGGTATTTATAACATTTTTAAAAATATAATCACAATACAGTCTTCAGTATTGAATAATATTAATAAACAATATGATTTTTACTAAACCTAACAAAATAAAATGAAAATAACTTTTAACAGTATAACTTTCTATAGTTCAGATTAAATTTCATTTTCCCCACTTTTATCAAAATTAATTGGTAAGTCATTAATGGTGTTATTACAGTCTGTTTGTAGACTATTGTAAAATTGATGATTGATTGGTGGTAAATAGGGAAGTAGATCCATTAAATCTTTTTTTTAACATTGTTATTTCGTGGCATGTTGAATATAATAGATCTAAATTCTGTATTCTTCCAGTTTTGATTTTCTTTTATATATGCTTGCAAAGTTAAATATTGAACTTCTGGTGTGTTTGAATATTTGTAATTTATCTGAAGGTTGTTCTTTTTTAAAATTTAGCCATTGAATTTTGAGCTATTCAACTTTTTCACCATAGGTACTCATTTATCTTTCTATTGACAATTTGTTTTTCCAGTGATTTGTTAGAAAACAAATTGTCTTTGGTCATATTTATAATATGAAAGGTGTTTTTTTTCTGGCATTTTTTATAACACTCTGCCAATCATTTGGTACAATTATGTTTTTCTGATGTTATTTTTGTTTTTCAATCAAACCACGGTAAAAACGAATGGGCACTCATTAAAAATTTGTGATCAATTTCATTTACACAATATTTGTCATTAGCCATAATAAAATTACAAAGAGTAGCCATTTTGATGTTTTGGGTTTGCCCTCCACATTGGTCTGATTACAAAATTTATTTATTTTCTGTAACAAAGTTTTTAATGTAGTGTAATGTATATGATCCTATTTCTTGAGGTCCCCTAGATCCAACTGATTCATCCCAGACATAAATTTTTACAGTATTATCAGCAATGTTATGTATTCCATGACAGTATGTCCATAATTGACCTTTATAATAATTAATAACATATACCAGTTGACAGTACTGGAGTGGGCAATGTTTTCATCAAATCAAAAGCCATACATACACCTAACAGTATCATTTTATTTTGCTTAAAGTCCATGTATACGCATACCTTCAGGGGCATTTTATGCTTTTCTCTGGTGTAAATTTTTGTTTGGCTTCGTTAATCAAATCATGGCATTTTTGTAAACAACTACATACATAAGGTTCAAAGGTCTTGGCAGGCACATATTTACCTGTACTTCCAATAAAAGATTCACCTCTAGACCTTTTACTTTTTCTCTCATTTTTTTCCAATTATTTTTATTCAAAAGTCTCGTTAAGTGTTTTTAAATTAGTCGGCTCTGTATTTTCATTTAAAGCAGTGTCTCGAATAATTTCATTGTTGTCAACTTCTTGAGTAATTTCATTATTAAAATCATCATTAATTTTACTGTCAACTTCGTCACTACTAGATGATCTATTTGATAAATAATATGGCAAGTATTCTGAGCCAGAATCTTGACAACTATCATCATCAGTATCTAATCTCATCAGACATCTGTATTGATAAAATATAATAGTAAATGTACCTATATAATATTATGAAAATGTATAAAGTGACTTACCATTTTGTAAATATTCATTAATTTCTTGAGTGTTCATTATAACTATATGAATTAATAAAATAAGAACTAACAAATACCTAACGACTGAAACGAACTATTACGTCTTGAGTAAATGGATAGAATGTTGAAGAAAATTTCGTATTTTGATAAAAAATGACAACTGCATTAATTTTGCCGGGAAGTATTATCAATTTTAATTTGTTCATGGAGAAACATTGGCCAATCCTATTGCATAGGGTTGGGCCACTCTGGTTCTGAAATTATCAGTTATTTTCATGAAGAAAAAAATGGCCTAATCCACTAGCATAGGGTTGGGCCACTATGAATGGTTCTGAAATTATATTTCATAATCACAGTGCCAAAAGAAATTAAGTGCTGCTTACAAGCGAATAATTTTTTTTATGGAATATGCCATAGTGGATTTCAAACATTAAAATATCAATTTTATCACATAAAACTGAATTTGATTTTTTGTGGGTTAGGCTGTTTTGGTGCTGATCGACTCAGATATCAGTTAATTGTCAGTTTAAGATTGAAAATCGAAAATATTTATATTTGTATACAAAATATATTTATTTATTTATCAGTTTAAGATAAAGAATACAATATTTTTATATTTATATTTATTTTATTAACAATATGTTTATATTTATACTTATTTCGTTAATTATTTTTCAGCTTAAGATTAAAAATAAAAAAAACCATTTATTTAATTGCCACTTTAAATACAATTTAAATTTTTTTACAGTTAATTTAAGATACTTGATAATATCCTATGTTTGTTCAAAACTTTTGTAAACATTAACTGTCGAAATAATCCGATCATAGTCATTGCTGGCCATGGTTTTGATAATATTTTTTTTTTTTTTTTTTTTTTTTTTTATTAATTATCCAGCGTCAACTTAGGCCTTTGGGAGGGGGGTTGGTACTGTAGGTTTTTTGGAACGGTAGGTATGTTACACGTGGGTGTATTTTTGGCAGAATTTCGAATGGGGCACCCGTAGGTTTCTGCCATGCCCCGTTGTGGGGGATGGCGGCACTTGTGTTCCGGACACCGTGACTTGCCCGGAGAAAAATGCCTCCCGGTGGTCGAGAATCGAACCCGCGACTGCCAGCGCCACAGCCGACGCGTTAGACCGCTCGGCCACCTCGTCCATATTGTTTTCAATTGATTTCATTATTGCCACGGTTTGTGTTTGGGTTTCCTTTAAAACAGAAATTACTAGACGTGTAAAAAGATGCGTGCTATAAAATTGCCCGTTGTAAGTTCTGTGGAAACTTTATTAGTTGTATTGGAAAGATGTACATGGTACCACATGTCACTTAAATGGGAAACAAAAGAGTGGACATTTATTTATGTATTGATATTTCAAACAAATTCAATTGTTGTCAGAAAAATAAGCAACAATTATGTTCAAAAATATTTATAAGTAGAATATGTAATTTTATTATTACAGGAAAAGTAAAGAAAGGCGTACCTTTTGATACAATTCTTGATTAAATTCGAGATTCGATCAATGATATATTATATGAGGACAATGTATGGGTGTGTTTAGAAGAACGAGACATTTGGAATATACGACGTGATTTCCAGTTACACAAAGGCCGTCAACATACAAATGATTTCATCAGTGCGAAGTTACGGGTGGAGAAAGTTCAAGGTTTAAATGAGAAGAACCCTGTTCTTTATTACAAAGAACAAGGCCAAGAAATTGAATATTCAATGAATAAAGCACACGAGGATAGTAGCATCATGTTGGTTTTAGTAAATGATTTTCAATTAAGTATGTTGGAAAAGTTTGGTAACAATATTGTATGTATAGATTCGACGCATGGAACAAATATATATGATTTTCATTTAACTACTCTTATTGTAGTAAACGAGTTTGGGAATGGAATTCCAACTGCATTTTGTATATCATATAAGAAAGATACTGCTACTTGGATTACATTTTTTGAAATACTGCGTGATCGAGGTATTTTTCTCCAGCCAAAAGTTTTTATGTCCGATATTGATGACTCATTTTATAAAGCATAGATGACTGTCATGAAATCTGCTGAGAAGAGATTATTGTGTACATGGCATGTTGATAAAGCAAAGTGAATGGGCTTATTGCTACTGAAAATCTAGCTTTATAAATACTAACATGTAGGTATTTAGAAAGTTTTCAAATATTATAATTTAGAATAAGTCTGAAAAATAAACGTCTCGATACATGTTAGCATTATCTGGTCAGTCCGCAGTTGTCACTTGTCGTTTTCACTTTTTCCGTTAACGAGTGCGAATAAAACGTCTTGTTCTATAATCGATTAGCGACTACTTTACGAAGTTTGAAGTTTTGAAGTGTTTGAAAATTGCCGAAAAATGAATCAGTATCAGGTATGTATAAGTTAATTATTAAAATATGTAATTTATTTGATGATTTCATGCATATTAGGTACATAATCACAATGTGATGATAATTATAATACATGCTATTTCATGTAAACTCATGTTATACATAATATATAGGTACTTATTGGCTATTGTTTACATTTTCATATTATAACAGATATACCTACAGGCTACAGCAGTACAGCTTCAAATTACTTGTGTTTATGTTTTAAATTAATGAAGTAGCTAATATCTTAATATCAATTATTTTTAGTATTACACCATAAAAAAAATATGCAATTTGTCTACTGCCTTTAATTTATGCCTTTTACATAAAGTATAAATCAATTAAACAAATAAACAACAAAGGTAATGTGCCTAATTTTGTTTTCATTGTCTCAGTTTCCATATTATTCGTCAGGATCTTCAGCTATAGAAATTCAAAATTTAGATCAATTAAATTAGTTAGATAATTTGTTGTTACAATCTAATGTTATACAAGAGTTCTATAAGGAATCGCAAGAGCCTCTTACAGGAGACAAATCTATATGTTTAACAGCTAATTTGCATACAAAGTTTGGATCTTATAGGCCAATGGCATGGACAACAGAAGTATAATAGTTATGAACTGTTATTTTATGTTCACCTTTAAAATGTATATTTCTTAATTTTCATTAGACTCTATTAAAACTTCTGCATACTACAAACTATGGGAGGTACATTTTTGCAGATTATAAAAAGAATGATGGTTTTTTGTCTGACGATTCGCAAAATTTACTAACAAAACTCTTTATCAACCATCTATTACAAGATGAGAGCAGGTATGAGTATGTTCAACCTAAGTTTAATAACAATTTTGAAACATAATATTAATGTATGGAGAATTCTAATTGAACTAGTGAAAACCCTGCTTATGATGTAACTAATAATGCATAGTGCGTAACTATTCATATACTCGATGTTAGTAATTTTGAAATTATTTTCAGAGGTATTGACTTTTACTTTAGAAAATAGCAGAGCTGATTGTTGAAATTTTTCCCAAAGAACAAATAGTATGGATTTAATAATGTTTATCAATACTATAAATTATAATATTAAATTATCTTGCATTTCTAGAGTGTATATTTTATACCCGCAAAGTCAGAAGGACAAAAGCAAACCCACGCAAAGGGGAAACTCATTGAACGCTGGAAAAATGTTGCTCTCAGGTTAAGAGCAGTCGGAGCAATCACATTAGAAAGGCATACTAAAAACCAGGCAAATGTAGTATTAGCTCCTGACACTGAATATTCTGTGTTTTCTAGTAAATTGAATTAATTTTAAATTTATATTTAATGCCCAACCAATGTGTCAATAGCTCTAAATATTAGAAAAAAAAAAATTGTACATTTTTTTCCTGGTGTTTGTTTTATAACTAGTTGATTATTATTGTTGTTTTGATTTATTATTATAGATGAGGTGCTAGATGCTAAACAGTAGTTAGAAGATGATGGGCTTGCTATTGATATAAATCTATTCAAAGCAAAATTGTT